GTCTTAATGATTCAGGAAGGTTTGCACTATAGTGAACCAACTGAATCAGCAAAGCAGTGATCATCTGAATCTGCCGTTGCTCTTCATCAGGTAGGTGATAGGCTCTCAAAGCTCGCTTCGAGACCGGCAACTTCCAAAGCAACTGAATTAATTCATCTATCACATATGTGCGATGCTGAGTGTATGAATAGAATATCTGTACAACCAACAATGAAGATGTACAAGTTTCAGAGTAGATAGCATCAAAATGCATGTGTTTGAAGATATGTACAGGTATGAGTAAACAATAGCTGCCAAGAGGAGATGAATAGTGCAGATCTGTACCGCGCTGATTAAACCCATTGCCTTCAGTTGCAAGAGCTGGATATTATCCACCATAAATGTTGTAAAGCTTGTTTTCACTAGTTGTAAGATACAACCATCTGACAACCTTTCTATTAACAACAAATCCTTGAGTAAACCAAGAATGGTGCACATTTTCTGAAGAATATTATTCACAGCAGCAGAGACCCTACCAAGGCAAAGATGTACGGGAAAGACAGCACCTAAGTTTTTTTATATAAGGATCTAGTAAAAAAATCTAAAACCAAGAGAAGAATATAGATAAGGATACCTGTTAAATGAGGATTTCTGCACTTTAACAGTCTTGATACTGCGTCTCTTCTTGCTTGCTGAACCAAATTCAGCATCAGGCTCTTCATCTTCCTCAACTGTCAATATATTGGAAAAAATTGTTATTCAAATCACACAAGTTGGAACAAACTACTCCTGAAAAGGCAAAATGACCAACCAAGCAAGACAATATACAGCCCACCATTTAGGTAACAACTGAAAGAAAATGATGAAGATGGTTTTGCATGCAGATTAAATAAATGTATGAAGCATTAGGGAACATATGGGTTAAGGAAATCCCAACTGCCCAAGAAAAACTAACCTTCGAGCGACCCATTTTGACTTGGCCTATGCAAAGCACGATATGATGGATCATAAGCGCACATAACATCCATTATCTGATGCCTGGAAAACTCCAGAATTCTTTCAATGATCTGATATGATGGAACAAAATTAAAAATTACTAGCATTTTCTACGATAGAAAAACAAAAACAAAATACAAGGTACATTTACAAGTATACAATACAAGGGACCTCCACTAAATGTAAACTGAGGAGTTAACATCTTAGCATGTACCTCTTCTTTATATAGTTGTTTTGGCATCTGGTTATGAGCCATTACTGCTAATGCTGCGTGAATGGACTCCAGTGCACATTGTATTGATGAAACCACATCTGAATTTGACTGACATTACAAAAGATAAGTAAGCTATGAACATGATCACAATACTATTACAATAAAACTCCACATATATAATTCAGTGCATAAATATGAACTGGAACGAATAATTGATTTATTAAACTAGCATTGTATTCACTGCCAACAACAACAACAACAACAAAGCCTTTTCCCACTAAATGGGGTCGGCTATATGAATCCTAGAACGCCATTGCGCTCGGTTTTGTATCATGTCCTCCATTAGATCCAAGTACTCTAAGTTTTTTCTTAGGGTCTCTTCCAAAGTTTTCCTAGGTCTTCCTCTACCCCTTCGGCCCTGAACCTCTATCCCGTAGTCACATCTTCGAACCGGAGTGTCAGTAGGCTTTCTTTGCACATGTCCAAACCCATTTTGTGTACGTGTTGATGCTTCACCGCCCAACATTCTGTGCCATACAGCATCGCCGACCTTATTGTCGTCCTATAAAATTTTCCCTTGAGCTTCAGTGGCCTACGACGGTAACACAACACGCCGGATGCACTCTTCCATTTCATCCATTCAGCTTGTATTCACTGCCAAAAATGAAAAACTAGTTTTCTATCTTTCTTCCTTCCTCTCTTTCCTGATTATTCCCATTACTATTCCTGTCCATTTATCACTCCCCCAAACTTTTATCATTGCACTTTGCAGTTGCTAATGCTATCCAATCAAATTTGTACATAACAAGCAGTCTCCTCCAAAGGCTCCAGATGCTTGATGCATTATTTTTCGATAAGAAGATAATCAATGCCTTATTTTGCTAATAAAACATTTATTTTATTTCAAACCTCACCCCTGTGCCCCCCCCCCCCCCCCGGCGTGGCACCCAAAACTAAAGAAATTTCATCCCAAACATGGTCATAACTAGGCAAACATAGGGTCAGGATAAAAGTGATTCAGATAGCAAAGACGATTAAAAAAAGAAACTCAAAACTTTCAATATATTGCAAGGTGCTGCAGTAACACCATTCTTTACTAGCTTGAAGATTAAAAACAAGATAAGAAAAAGAGTATGGAAAAATTAAACAGTGCACAAAAGCAAGAAGCTAACAACAAAGCCTGAAGAAATGTAATTTAAGAAGCAAACTTGAAATTACCACAACAGACCTGCCAAATGCAAGAAAGAAAGCAGAACAGAAAACAAGCTCACCTGGTCATATTCAATTATAGTCAAGCCTTCAGCTCGATGTATCTGATGATCTAAAATCCTTAACAATCTAACAAAAGTATCTGCAGGAACCAAATGTAGAAGCTTCTTTGCTCGAAGAGACATTATTTCATTTGCAAGCACTCTAAGATCAGAAAGAGGCATAGATAACCACTCAGTTTCTTCCCTGTCATCACTGAAAATTTCAGCTCTGCCACAGAAATCCTCCACCAACTCACAAAAGCTTCTGATGGTGGCATCTAAACAAGATTTTTGAAGATAGGTCACTCACATGAATATTGAAAAGAAGAATGTATGTTTGAGAGGAAGAGAGAGTTCTAAAGCCCACGAACCTTGAATTTCAGCAGAATCGAGTCCGACTGTTGACACAACGGTATCACTAGCTTTTTTCTTGGATTTTGGTTTTCTAGAAGATGGTGGAGATATGTCCTGCCATTTCACCTTCTAGATTATTAAACAAGGAGGGGGCAAAATTATTAACTGCCAAATAGATGCACACATACATTAGGAGGAATATCATTGAGCTGATTATTGTCAGATACGGAATAGTCTCTTTGAGAAAGCTTTGGTATAGGTACAATAGGCTTGAAGGGCTTCTTGTCAGATACTGTACTACTGACAGGCACTTGCCCCTTAATAGGACCTGCGAAACTTGAACAGTGCAAGAAACAATAAGCACAGAAATATAAATTTATACAAGAACAAACACTTTAAACTACAACCAATTCTTCTAAGGAACTAAGTAGTGTGTATAATATCTAGAGACATTTATTTACTGTGCATGTAACATATACAAAGACTAAGAGAGATCTTGGAAATTCGCATGTATCCTTTCAACAATGAAGTAAAAGTGCATCATCTAAAAAGAAATAAATATTTTGAGCTTAAATGAAGCTACTCTGTCTGGTAAGTGTAAAAAATATCAACTAGCACTCTTTAACTTCTGCAACTTGTGCTTTGAAACCAAAAGAAAATATTTTTATTATTATTTTATCATATCTAATCAATATCTCCACTCGTATGAAAAAAGATATGTTTTTCTCATTCATAGACATATTATCTTTAGTTTTTATTAATTATTTTCAGTATCTTTATCAATGAATTAATATTATTCTCAATCTTCATTAGTATAAAATCTGCATAATCATTAACCAAGTCTATATTATCACCAAAACTTCTTGCACCTGAGAGATGTGATTGCATTACTCAATCATGTTATAACCTATGTAAAGGCTTATTGGTTGTATGATGAAAATATGGCTGTTGCAATTTGCAGTTATATTCGAAACAGCTATACAGAAACCCAATAAGTAGGAAACCAAAAAAAAATCTAAAGAAAAAGTTGAAGCATAAAAGCAGGTAAGGAGAGACGAAATACTTGGTTTACCTGGTCTATAGTACTCAAATGCTTCTGGATTGTACCGAAGAACTTCATCGTGAAGTTTTAAAGGTTCTCCATAACCATATGGAATTGCCCTAGCATCCTCCCTAAGGTTCCTGTGCATGAAACCATATATGAGCACCGACAAATGAATAGAAAAAAAAAATTCAAAACAAATCTAAACAATGTAACTAATAAAAATTTTGTATCAGCACAGTTCCCCTAGTCCGTTGCATTTTTAGTAAAAAATAAGATCCTGGGATACAATTTAATATACAGTACAACAAATCAGGTGGCTGCTTTGTTCCAAATTACTTATAACAAAGTCGTCTCCGAATTCACATTTCACAACCTCATCGCATTAGTTCAAACACATTGAGCTGCCTGTCAATTCAGCTAAAAGTGGGGGGAGAGAGAGAGAGAGAGAGAGAGCTAATTCCCATCAATAACCATTACATTTTTCTCCAAATTACTTAAAATTTAAACAAACAAAACCAAACCCCATCACAAGAAACGGGAAAATTCAAAATTTACACGCAGCAGAACACGGCAACAATCAAATACGTCAAATTTCAAATTGTAAATTAAAAAATAAGCAAAAATCACAATTCAAATGCAACATCGCGCATTTCTAACAATCAAATTTCAAATTTAAACCTGGAAATGAAATTGCTGGCGCAGAACACAGATAAGTACTTACAAGTACGACACGTCGGTTTCTCGAAGCAGATCAGCAATCCTACTCGCAACAGCTGCGTCAGGGCGGTTCAGCCACGCACTGTTCCGACTGGGTTCGTCGAACAGCCGGAGGTGATCAGATGCCCCGCAGAACACCGGCAGCGACGGCAGAGGCAAGCAAGGCGCGACCTCCGAGTGCACCGTGTTCGAGAGGCTGATACCTCCGTGAGCCGAGCCGGAGCTCGAGCTCGAAGTGGCTACCGGATAACTCATCGACTGCTCCACCGGTGAGTTCGCAATCGGCGCTGCAAGGGCATGTAGGGAGAATGATGAACCGGCTGAGTGGCAGGGGTCGTAATTACGCAGAATCAAGGGGGGGTTTCGAAGAGAATTAGGGTTTCGGTTGCAGAGAGTGACGAGGACGGAGCCCTAGATTTTGGGAAGGAGAATTTGGAGGAAGCAAATGGCGGGGAAAAGTGTGGTGGAGGAACTAAATTCTGGGGATTTTAGATTTGCGACTGCGAACGGAGTCTCGCTGCCGGAGTTACGAAAATGCCCTCAGGGGCACTGTACGAACTGTCAAAGCTTCCCGCTGACGACTCGTCAGTTAGCTTCGTTGTGAAGGATTGTTTTGGAATTTTATTCGACGGAGGATTTTGCTGGGCGCAGATTTTGGAAAAAGGTCGAGTTCTGAAATTACGGAATTAGTCTTGGGGTGGTGTCGTGAAGGTCAGCAGCACAAAGATTGTGTGTCGTCCTTTTCGGTCTTTTCCGCTTCCTAGCCGGAATAAGAAGATTGAGAAATTGAACTGTAAATGATTAGTAGATTTTTGTTTGAAGTGGTAACATGGTTTGCACCACTGAATTCGGAGAGATTCTTGGGTCCACCTGCCATAGCATTCGTCTGACCGCATACAAAAAAAAAAGAAGAGATATCTTAAAGAGTTTTTCGTAAATCGGCTAACCCGCCGGCATCGTTGAGAATTATGTTGAATTTTGACGTTAAAAAGATAGTTTGTGCGGGCGAACTTAAGAATCTCTTTTAGTTATAGTATGCATAGTAATTAAAGATTGTCAGTTCAAACAAGTGTAAGTAACTGACTGTAGCATTTTTATTAAGTAAATCCAATTATTTACATGCACTTTAACAAGTGAGGAGAATAAATATGTAATAAGCTTGTTTCAACTACATATTTAATAGGCAAAAAGTGGTATTCAAGACTAATATACTTTTGTACGCCTCTGTGTCATACACTGAAATTTTTTACCATTAAACTCTTAATTAAAAATTCCATCACAAAAATTTAACGAATAAAACTCTCATGAAAGTACAAAATTTTGGAGAAGGTTGACTTAGGCCCCATCACAAAGAATAAAAGCTAACTTTAGGTAAGCAATTATACAAATTACGAATTATTTTTTTTTACCAAACAAATTAGGAATTAAATATATAATATTCAAGCCCACTATAACGCCCAAATTATAAGTAATTGCATTAAAAAAATTGATAACCAATTTCATAAAATTTAGAAATCACAAAAAATATTTTTAAAATTAAACTAATTTTTTTATCCAAAAGAGTCATAAGATTATTATAACTCTTTACTTTGGTTCCTGAAATTTGAAATTAATAAAAGTGATCATGAACATGTCAATTAATTTGAAATTTGAAATAACGGATCTCTCCCCTTTTAATCTAACAATAGGATTATAAAACTAATTATGTCAATTATTGTTAATTTCTTCTTTTTTTCACTTAATTGGAATCCTCATATTTTCTTCCCTTTTACAATTAATCCCACTTATGCTATAAATTTACAAAAAAATTTAAGTAAAACTAATGAAAAGAACTTGAAAACTTTGAGTTTTAACAATAAGGACAAAATAAAGGGTAAAATAAATAGTACCTATCAGGATTGACTTTTTAGTGTAAAAATATGATTTTTTGTTAAAGTAAACAGCCAAGTGCCATCACAATTACAGTGACCAACTTTTGTCCGCCAAATTGGGCTCCGGCTCTTGATCACTGGTGCAATCCACCCCAAAAGCACTTCGACCTGTACATGCCTATGCTCGCAAAACTCGCACAGACAAAAGCCGGTATCAATCCAGTTAAGTACCGCAGAGTCTCGAACCGGAAGAGTGGAGGGGTTAAGTTTGAGCTCAACGGCAACCTCTGGTGGGTTACCACGACAGTGTTCAACGTTGGCAGTGCTGGCGATGTTACGAATGTCGGTATCAGAGGATCTAGCACTAACTGGATTAAGACACTGGGGGCAAGTTTGGGTGGCGACGGGAGACCAACTAGCTTGTCATTCGTAGTCACTATGAGTGATGGGAAAACAATAGAATTGGATGATGTCGCACCAGCAAATTGGCAGTTTGGTCAAACCTTTGAAGGCAGATGAAATTTCTAGACCGAAAGTGACACTCTTACCACATTTTCCATACCACATTCGTACCACATCTAATAGAGATGGTCCCCACGTGTTGGTGCGTCTTACCATACAAATGTGGTATTATAAATAGAATGAACATGAAATAAATACACTTCAATACAGAGCAAAAATGAACATTTGTAATTTATTCACAGTAACAAAGAAAACAAGCATGTAACAAACTTCAAAATTTTGAATATGCAAGAACACATGAAAGAAAGTGATACCGCTGAAGCAAAGTGCTTACATTGAAAATGAGAGCGTTGTGCTGTTTTCTTCCATATGCAGACGCAGCATGTCAACGAAACTGTAGAAGACAAAAGCATCATTGTTGCATCCAATTCAGTCGCTGTTTTTATTTGAATGGCCTTGCAAGTGAAACCCTCACTTCCAATCAAGCATGTCTAATAGCCACAAAACCTCTTCCTTCGAGTTCGCAGCATCCATGAAATCCATTTCGATCCCAAAAACATCAATAACTCCTTCATCTCCGTTGTCCATGAAAAGCAAAGAGATCCATGCCCGGATACCTGAAGTGAATGGGTAGACTGCCGAGAAGTCTAGGTATTCATTTGCCATGGCTCTAGATGCTGTTCGATCAATGTAGTCAAAAATAGAATTATCAATTATACGTGCAACCCTGTTAGAATCTTTGCGCTCCACAAGCACTGAAACACTCACGGTCTGGGTCAGAGGAACAGCAAACCTTGGCTCAACAGGGAGTTTCATCCTGTACTCGGTACCCTCCAGGTGATATCTAAGCATGTCACATACTCCTGGTGGTGGGATTTTGGTACCTTTCTGTAGAACTGGGCCAGGGACCACTTCAGAAAAGAGAAATCGATCTTCAGTCCATATATCAATGAAAAATTCCAAGTCATCAAAGGAAAGTCTTGGTGGAAGAAGAGTTCGACGGTGGTGGCGCTTATAAAAGTTTTGATACAGCTTGCAATAGGTTAGAGTGGGAGGGTTAGGTCGCTTGCAGGTAGAGGGCCATCTCTTGGCACATAGACGCTTCCAAAAGAAATCATCTCGAGCTATCTGTCTCCACCGCTTGCACACCCCCATACAAGAAGCAAGGTCCACACCCTCCAGTAAAGGGAAAACCGCCTTCAGGACCACTTCATTCACCATTTTCAACTCACAACCAATTCATAAAAAGAATCTGCCACTGCGGCGGCTATCACTACATTGGAGGACTAAAATCAGCAGAGACGAGGACAGATAGAAAACCCTGTGGAAAAAAAGTATAAAATCCAAAATTCATAAAATATACACTCGTCATTTTTTGTTAAGATCACCACACATTTAGCTTAACGAGAAAAATGCAAAAGATCATATCAAATTCAGTTCAGATATAACGAATGACTTAGTAGTGTCCTTCTAAACAAAATAACCATCTGTGTTCGACGAATCATAAGGAAAAAAATGTGTTCCCTATAACAGGTAGCCCCGAGAAGAAGTGAACATCGCATTATGTCTTCAACTCAATAAAAACCTCGCATTGGATTGATCATCGGGATGGGCGGTCTAATTCAATAAGCAAATGCACTTTCATAAACCTTAATGCACTTCCAAGTTTTAACCAAACAGCTAATTTTCATGCCGAACAACCACAGAATTCTTCCTAAACTGGGATGCCTAACAACGTGCATTTTACATATGCATTTACAAAACACAGGGCAAGGGCGACCCAAGCCAATAAGGCTCCCCGCTTTGCGAGGATCGGAGGAAACATCTATCTACGCAGCATTATTCTTGTTTTGAAAAGAGGCTATTTTCACGACTCAATCACAAAGGAGCAACATTTCCGCTGCGCCAAGATTCGCCCTCACACAGATAACAAACACATATTTCTAACACTTGATTAGATCAGATTAAGAGTCATATCAACAGAAAATTAAGAAAATGACATACAAAATTTACACTGCAAAAAACCCCAAATCAAAAATTGATGGGAATCAAAAACCTAGATCACGCAGTCGAAGAAGATGGACAAAAAATTGAATTAAAAAAATGAAAGATTATTTGCATTCGTACCTAATTTGTTGGCGGAATCGGTTAAACCCGGTAATGTTGTTGGAAGCCTTGGAAGCAGATGACGGAGGGAAGTGGGATATTAGACTTTGGGCGGAGTCTGGGAGGCAAAGAAAGAAAAGTAGGCAGCAAATTAACATAAAAACAAAAAACAGTACAATCGCAATATGGGACTTTTATGTAAAATTGTTTATTAATTTGGTGGTCGCCACTCGCCGGTGGGCCAACAAACGAAGAAAATTATTAATTTCAGAATACGGCGAGTTACGTTAACTGTTATTTTATAAATAGAGGAAAATATTTTTTTAAGTTTCTTTCTATTTGTATGATGACATATGTTGGACAAACGAAATCTTCTGTGATGGCAGAAGTGAGGTGAGAAACTTTTATCGGGTTGCATTATTCGGGTGAGTTTGGTGGAATCAATGTGAAATTAAATGAAACTATAACGATTGTGGTTTCGGGTATTGTAAGGGAGACTTTTTAGCTAACTTCTCGTCCACCCTCAACTCTTTTAGAGCATCTTTAAAGGAGATGTCAAAATCTTAGATGAAATGTCACTGTACATATTTAACATCAAAAGTTTCTCCAACAGAAATGTTATTTGATGACTGGATTTGAAGGCTTAGTGATTTGATGTAAAATTTGACATTAATATCAAATTTATTTTTAATTCATTTTAATAGTGGATCCCTTATTCCACTAGTATTTCAAGCAATAAAAATTTTGTTTCAACATTTTTTTTAATAATTACAATCATTTAAAGCTCTATTTAAATAATAAAATTATATTTGACAATTTCGTTGGAAAAATACAAAATTTAACATAAGGCTTCAGATTGTTGCAACAACTATCAATTGTAATTTGACATTTCTTTTTAAGATGGTCTTATAGTGATTTGATAAAGACGTCTTTCTTTTTATACAAAAATTATAAAATATGTCATTTCTATAATTTCTAAATTTTTCACCCCAAAGGTTTAGGACATGTGTTTGAAGATAAACAATTCAATGCAAGCATGTATTCGCATTTTTTGACATGTGTTCTGCACTAAATTTATTATTTCACTTTTGGACGTATTAGCATAAAAAATGTGGAGACATGGAGGGGGTCTGTGATTGAAAAAAACTTTTCGCATGTGTATAAGCGTGTGTGTAGAAAAACTAGTAAAAAGAATGTGACAGATGAATGGAGATTGCAATTTTCCCTTAAAAAGAATATTAAAAGTCCTGTATTTTTGCATCAAGTGTTTTACAAATGACGCGATCGAATTGTTTTTACCCAAAATTTGTTCCAACCGACAAAACAAATATTATTTTTTGGTTTGAGGAGTATATTATATTTGACGGGTTCAGGGCTTTTCGGGGATAACCCGGGTCCAATTTTGTCATTGTGGACTTTAGACTCCATGTCCAAAGCTTTTATATCGGGCTTAGTAACCCAGGTCCAATCTTTGCCGTTGGTTTCATCCAACGTCCAATAAAAGACAAAATCCTCAATAGAAATATTTCTGATTTTTTTTTTAACAACTGGTATTATTCACACTAAGAGAGGAGGGGGCGGGTTTAGCTTCACAATTGGCTAGCAATAATATGGTTCAAATTCGCCTTTAGCGAGAATAGAACCTAAGACCTCTCACTTATAAGTGAAGAGAAATATCACTAAACCGTATTACTAAGTGATAATATTTCTAATTTTTTAATGCTTTGTAGTATGAACTTTGTATTTAGAGTTGTGCGTGAGAGAATGTCGTATCTGGTAGAGCCACTAGAGGTGATTTAAGGACGGAAATAATGTCGTATCTGGTAGAGCCACTAGAATTAAGGTCGAGATGGTTAAGTTAATTCAGTAAGATACTATATCGTCGTTTTGTACTTAAGTTCAAATTATTCTCTTTATAAATAAGAGCATTCAGAATACATATCGTATAACAAAACAATAAACCACACTTGTCGGTTATGGATTAGGTGCCGACAATGATTAATTTTAGTTGAGCATATACATATAAGGAGTGTATAAATGGGAAAAATAAGAGAGGAGGAGGAAAAAGGAGAAGGCAATGAAGCTTAGTGGGCAAAGTTGGTTGAGACTGGACAAAACAAGTGGAGTTTGCAGCCAAAAGACCGTCGAGTGACTGAGCCATGTCCGATCATGGCAGCCTCTGCAGACCTGAAAACAAAAGGAATAAAGTGAACTCAAACCCTAGCTAGCTTCTCATGATATTGCATCTCTCTCTCTCTCCTTCGCAGTTGCTGCTGCAGCTCACTAGCTCATGAGAGCATCCTCAATAGGAGCTTTATCCTCCATGAGGCTACTATATTTCCAACCTTAACGAGAAATTTCATCTCTAATGAGCTGGAAAATGTGGTAAATCAACCACTGGGGCAATCAACTTGCTTTCTTGAGTAGCATAAAATCGGGCTACATCTAACCCAAAAAAATAGTGGGTCCCACAAAAAAAGTAGTAACCCATGTGAGCAAAATTATATCACTCTCTATTCACTTGCGAATACACTTAAACTTTCCTTTTATTATTTTTTTAATTCTTTTTTTTACTTATTTTTCTAGCAATTTGGCTAATTAATGATTGTTTTAAATTCCATAAGAAATAAAATTTGAAATTGATTTAACGTTCATGAGCATTGATGAGTGAAATTTTCAAATATTTTTTTTCAAAATTGTATGATACTAATTTACCAATTGGTGCTAGGTAAATTGTTGTGTTATACATGAAAAACAAATTATTTCAGAGGTCGAAGTGGAGGTTTGTTTCTTTCAACGAAAATTGAGATAAGGGAATCTAATCCAACAAATGATTCATAAGTGATTAAATCTAATTTTGTCACAATTTGAACGTTTTAGGTTGAAGATAGCACATCGAAAAATCAACTTAAGAAAAGCTAACAAAAAAAATCATCGCTTAATCAAATTACTACATAAATTAATATATAGCCCCATATAAAGCCCGAAAGATATAGCTCTTCATTATGAGAGATTCTTCTATAAAACCCCAAAGATTCCTCAAATCTCTAAAATGAGCTATATCCACCACTTTTCCAGCCCTATATAGAGCCCGGAGATGCTCTAAGCAGTAGAACTCACTCAGCTCTCCTCTCCTTTCTATCAGAGAAAGTGCAGCTGATCATGATCTAGAAAAAAAAAAAGATGTTACATCACATCTCTCTTGATATAATTTGCTTTGTATCTGAAAACAAGTATTCTTTATTGCATTTCATCATCAGCATAATCATCTTGTCCCTCACACAAGTACACATATATTGGGTAGTGTTTATAACACACTTCCTACTTTTTACATATATTTATTAACTTTTGTTTATTGATCTTCTTAGTACATTTAATCAACAGATGAAAATTGTGAGAGATGTGTGAGAGGTAAAAATGAGTGTGTGGATAGTACAACCATATGTATATATGTTCATTCTCTTCTTCTAGTGATACTGCAAAGTGAGAAATGTTTAGGGGACACTCTTCAAGTGGAATTCTCTTTGGATTCTCTGCCGCCTCACAATTTAACGCCAATTTCATATCAACATTATAAAATATTGTGTTAAACACATGAGGTGACATAGTCTATTAAAAGTTCCATTTTAAGAGAGATCCCTTAACATTTCTCTTGCAAAGTATGTGGGAAATTTGGATTGGACCATTCATATGATTAATTTAAACATATAAGCAATTAGCACAGGATGATCATCAAATTTAAAAGACCAAACCAAAGTTAACTTTTTACTCTGTCAAGGTTTTTTATAATTAACCCACAAAAATAAAAAAGATAACAAACCATTAGCGTGGGAGAGCGTGTGAAGACTATTCAACTTTTTACATGTAGAGAGGAGTTTATGCTTATTTACTCATAAAAATATAACTCACTAAAATCACGAAAAGAATTTATGTTCAAACATCAAAGTGTGATTATTATCAACAACAACAACAAACTAAAATCAGACACAGGAATACTTTGACCTCTACCTCCTCTTCACAAGCTAGGTATTCTCCTATCACTAGGCATATCCCATTAAATTGAGTTGACTGTATAAATCATAGATCGTCACTGCACTCTATTTTACGTTAGTGATTCATAAAAAATTGCTAACTTTAGGGCAAGATACATAATTACAAATATATGATGGCTAAACCTCATTTCATTATTTTGAACTTGTAGTACACATCAATTGTTTTCGCATTAAATGGATAACGTTAATTATTTGTTGGAAGTTTGCAGTGGTAGCTCAACAAAAGTCCACCTACGAGAAGACAAGATCTTCTGTTTAGCATATTAAATTCAACAGAATGATACTTTTATTATTTTTAAATAATTGACAAGGTATATTATAGGAATGACGTCACTGCTCACACACCCGTGGTACGAGAGATATTTTAGTATGACAGTCACATAAAATGGTACACCACGTGTCTCTATATAAATAGTGAGTTATGTGTGTTAAAGGGTTAATAACTTAAAAATTAAAATTTTTTACCACTTACATAAAAACACGTGATGTACTATCCGTACTTCCTTCACAACTAAAAATTTCTCTTGTACGTGCCCGATTGATCAACTAGCTTCTAAATCAAACCAAGTCAAAGCATGCATGTGCATAACAAGAACCAATTAGTAAACCCATTAATTAGTTACATGATAAGGGCAAAGTAAACTCTAAGGGCACACAGCATGAAAAGAAAATCCGATTTTGGTAAGACTTGATCTGGATCGTAGTTTAGTTTCGAATCAGTTCACTTTTACGAGTATCGTGATAACTAATTTTTCAATTTGTATGGTTTTTGGATCTGTCGCGATTTCATTGTAATTTTATTATTATATTTTCAAAAAGAAAAAAAGGAGACGATGAGCATTGACCCAATATAAATGTTGTTCTTTTGTGATCAAGAGGTTACAGATTCGAATCGTAAAAACAACATTTTTGTAAAGCGAGAGTAAAGTTGTATACGATATATGTTTCTTCCCTGACGGTCACAAAATGAGAAATCTTGTTGGCTTAGGTTTGCCATTTTTTAAAGGAAAAAAGGAAGGAAGGAGAGAGAGAGAGAGAGAGAGAGAGAGAGAGAGAGAGAGAGAGAGAGAGAGAGGAGAAAAGGTGCATTTGCTGCCGGTTGATCAGTTCCATGCAGGGAATGTGCAAAACATGCTGTACATTTCTTGCTTCCTCACTGTCTCTCATTTGTCACATGCCCTTACCCCTCTCCCAAACAACTCTCCAAAACTCCCTCTTCTGCATGTGCTTCCCATGTGCTCTCTTTCTTTCTCTCTCTCAATTAGTCTCTCAGTCACAGCCTTCAGATGGGGCTTTGCTGGCCCATATCACCTCACATGCATCCTTTAGCAAAACCTCACTCCCACTCCCAATACAACTACCCTAGCTAGCTCACTATCCAACTTTTATTTGTACCCCAAATGTCCATTTTGCCCCTTACTTAGTCTCACCATCTAAACAACCCAAGGACAAGCTTTGTTTTATATTAATGCGATGAAGAGAGAATAAGAGAAGGTTAATTTGTCTTGATATGACATACCTTCTAGATCACTCCCCATACGACATTTTCTGTAACTTGTTCCATTGGACCTTGGCATAGGATCATATTTGTCCTTGTGTAGGGTGGTGCTATCCACACATCATTTTTTACCTCCTACACATTTCTCTTAATTTTTGGCCGTCGAGTCGAGAGTTGAAGAAGATCACAGGTAGAAATTAACAAAGACTATGTGAGAGATAAAAATAAGTGTATAGATAGCACCACCCAATAATGTATTCTAATTGGTGCATTGAACAAGTACTATTTGATCAAATATTAATAAATTGGTTTGTTTCGAACTTTTGGATTGAATTTTTACTTACAATGAACAAAATCATTATGTACAGCTCATACGCATATTAACTACTAATCAGTAATCAAATGTCTATGAATGAGAGTGAAATATTGCACCAATTGATCATTGTTGGGTCTAAAAGTCAACAAGTGGAAATTCCATCTACCTATGCAGTTAAATTTGGATCCTTTCAAACTTTAGTATTCGAAGCCTAAGGACCAGAAAATCGGAATCCTTGTTTGTGTGGACGAGAAATCGAAGTTCCTGATTTGTGTAAGGTAGACTAGCAAAATAAGTTAATGGGAGACAGTCGAATTCAATTTGAGTGGTTCAGATTGCATGATTCTTGAACTCCAAAAGTAAAATCCGAAGTGGATGTATGTCCATGCATGTTGATGTTTATCACTCTCAATCACTAAAATCAAATAACCTAATATGAGGGTAATTTGGGAATAGCGGTATTTTACGGTCCCGCCCCTCACATGTGCCGTTACAGATGGGCAGGCTTTCTGCCTTGTGGCTCGCAAGTTGTGCCGCGTTCCCGCTTTCTTCTTTTAATTGAGATGCCAACTCTCTGTCAATTAAATTACGAAACAACCCCTTCTCTTCCCACAAACATCTCTCTATTTTCCTTTCACTCTCGCTCCTATTTTTTTCTTTCAATTACAGCCCAATATAGAATCAAAATAAGGCAGACCGTATGGCTCACACTGTTCAATAATAACAATCAAGTCTTATTTCGCTAAATCGCACAATACAAAACTTATTTTTCTGTAAGTAAACCGAACAATGCACCTGATTTATCTGTTGGGCACAAGAATTTTTCATGTGTTTAAAATACTTTAGCGCAATAATATACCCATTTCTTTGCACTTGAGTGCCAGTTTATTGTTCAACACAAGAACTTCTCGTGTGTTAGGCTAGTGAGCCTGATAATGTATCCATTTTTGAGTTCAAATTCACAAGTACCAATCACTTAAAGTAGTTTAAAACATCGTCAAAATCCTAAGGATCATAAGAACATGGCTAAACGACAAGGAAAAACCAGAAATGGCATTTTCGTAGTAACCAACAAGCCGCGTGTCTATTTCTCAACCCTCCATTACTTAAACCTCGTAAGGCCTCGTCTTCCTCCTCACATTCTCTCTGCGACTCTGTTTTTCCATCACACAAAAACACCATGAGCTCTGCTCCTGGAAATTACCTCAAGGCCACCCTGGCCGGAAGAAGAAGAAGAAGAAACACCTCGAGAAGAAGACTTATGCCGCGCCGGTGTCGAGCTCCGGTTAGAAGCTTCAACAGCGGCGACCGCAAACGGCGTTGTTCGAAGGCGGTCTCGGCCAAGCTGGAGACGCTAAAGACCCTCGTTAATCCGACCCACGTCGGAAAATCGCTAAAAGCAGACGAATTGTTCCAGGAAACGGCGGATTACATCGTTCTGCTGCGGACCCAGGTCGTGATTTTGCAGAGACTCGTCGAGTTTTATGGATCTAGTGAGAAGGAAAATGTTGCTGCTGTATCATAGTAGTTCAATATCTTTTTAATTTGTCAATGCAAAAAAAGAAAAGGAAAAAATATGGGTTTTTTTAGGTTTTTCTCCTTTTATTTTTCTCTTAATTTTTGTTTGGAAGTTTAGATGTTGCATGCTTTGTTTGGTTGAAGTTCATCCACCAAATGAGGCTCAACTTAATTAATTAATAGCTAATTTTTTTTGCCAGATCTTTCGTAGCAAAATATGCTACTTTGTTATAGCAGATGTGTGTTAGGCTAGTTAACAACGAGTTCGCATGTTAGATCTCTCTGTTTTTGTTGAAGCAGATGTGTGTTAGGCTAGTTAACAACGAGTTCGCATGTTAGATCTCTCTGTTTTTGTTGATCAGATTAGTTTAAAATATCGATCCGTTAAAAAACATCTTAGCTTAAGCAATTTATATCTTGAATAAGACTGAAAGTTTTATACTTTTCCCTCTTTTATCATCATTTTCCTCTGCATGAAATTGGTTAAATTTGAATAATTAATCATATTTTATTCCTGGGTTTTGTTTTTTGTGTCTGAATTAAAATGCATAAACAAAAACTGCAGGAATTCTTTGGCACCCAAGAGCTAGACATCCCTTCTGGCTCTCTCCATATATGTCTCTCTTGCAGTGTGCCTGCACACACATCATTTTCTAAGCACACAGACATGCATTGTAGAGAAAAGAAGAAGATATATACAAATATATATATATATATATATTACATTATATGTATGATGAATCTATATATTCACATAAATCCAAGGCATGGCATTTTCACAGAGAAGCCTGGAAACCATACGTCAGAATTAACTGTGAAAAGAGAGCACGGGGTGGTGGGTGGTGGTGGTGACAGTCATTGCAGAGGTACTATGCAAGAAATTAAAGGAATGGGGATGGATGGATGTACATAGTAAATTGAATGTGATAGGTAGTGAAATTCACATAACATCTCCATGAAATTGACAGCAGAGCCCCTTGTGGCATGCAGTGTTTTGTGATGATAGGGACATGTTTTTATTTCTCAGCACGGTCAAGAATCCCATGTGCAAAAGCCAAATTTGAGGGGTCTTTGCCTGGAAAAAAAATCTCAGTGTGACAGTCACACTGACATGAGAGACATTGTTGGTCCGAATGTTATAATATATATGGACGATTATGTTGATATTTCGTATAATATCACTGATTTATTCTTTTATTTTTAGGTAGAAGGAGAGATTCGAATTTTGGTACAAATGGTGGAACACACTACTCTAGTCAACTACTGTAATCCACAAATATTAGGATATAATATTATTAGACGTATACATTGATATAACATGAGTAGATTGATCCCCGGCAATAATGTATGACATTCACACCGAAGAAATTCATCTTTGCTAGTTTAGATGTCTCGTGTGTTCTATAATTTCCTTGGTTTGGCGATCGTATCACCAATCCACCACGTGGTATTACTAATAATGTGATAGGTTGGGCGGTAAAGTTGACATTCTTGGACTTTAGAGTATAAATTTGCTAAATAGATAGATGTGATATAACATGAGTGGATCGATAACACGAACTGACGAAAATGATGTCATGTTTGCCAGTTTGGATGTGTCATGTGCTATGCAATTAAATCTGTATGTTACTTAACGTCCTTTCTGCTATGTGTAATTATAAGTGTGTTAAGCTTATAAAAGGAACCATGTGCAAAAGCAAGAGCGGAGGTCCACAGCAACTCAGTATGCTATGCTGGTTTTACTGGTTTAGGGAAAAAAATGAGCAACATATATTGGTGAATCTAATTTCGGTTGCTTTTCAATAAATTTTGTAACATGGAGTTCAGAGCTCGAATTAATAACTTGTTCATTTCTCCTTTTCGGGGGCAATTAATTGCCCAAATTTTAGTAGTTTTGCATTAATTCTTATAGCTTCTTAACCTTCCATGCTCTTATTGGAATAGCGAGGGAGTGAATGCATATGCTAGCGTTTCTACGTGCATGTGGATGATTATCAGTTCTGGATACATTGTGAGGTTCGCTTGCATTAACAATTAACAGTCGTTTCATTGAAAATTGTACATATTCTACTAAAGCTAGCTCTAGCTACTAACTAGGGTTTTAGTTTTTAAGAATTAAGAAAGTGAGAATGGCTAGTTTGATATTTTATCTTCAAAAGTGTGCAGAATGATTTTTTTTTTAAATTCCACGTTCTTTCCTTTACTCAAAACAAGAAGGATACTTCGATGACCTTTCATTTGAAAAAAGGGCTCCGTACCTCCACAACCATGACTAGATACAAACATTATCTGTGTCACATCATCAGCTAGCATTTGTCCATACTTTTGAAGCTGGGAGAAAATATTGCCTCTCCTTTTCGAATAGCTCCAATAAAGTGTGTTTTTTTTTTGCAGGTTCGCATATGGGGTTGTCCTCTAGTTGGATATACCCGCGTTGGCCGTCACTGTAGTTGAATGAACGCGAACAAACTCTACCATTTTAAAATGTGCAGTACAAATGCCTATCAATCAGGTAAGATCCGAACTCTTTAATTTGATTCCTATTTCATCCAATTGGCTCTGCTAATCCACCAATAAACCATAATTCCGTGATATAATTGTATATTTTCAAAGTTAGACAAACAGTTAATATTCAATCATCTCAAATACAAATATGTATTTCTTGAACTGTCATTCATGTAATATTGTAGAATTTAAATGTGTGGATGATTAAATTTTGTGATCACCAGTTGCAGATCTAAGATTCTAATATTGGGTGATCCTAATCAAAGTACGTTAGGCGCTAGTCTAGTGATGGGCTGATGTCTAGCCCCTAAATCTTTCTTCTGGCTTCAAGGCCTCTATTATAGTCATGGTGGTGGTCTCTCTTCCACCACTTGCCCAGACCATTGGGTGATCCTCGGAAGTCCTCACATGCGCTTCTTTGGACTTCCGGTGATCTGGGCCGTCATAAATGGATCCACCCCTGGTGATCACGGTTTACGGATATAATTAAGATAAACATAGATTTCTAAATTTTATTGTATCACTGTATCAACTGAAGCATATAGTATTATATTAATTCGTAAAAACAGATGATTAGCACATTTTCTTGTTTGCTTCTTCCACTTGCATGCCCTGTGATTTCATCCATTCAATAAAATTCTTGAAGATCTTGTTAGATTGGCCGCCTTCTTCGACATTGGCGATGGCCAATTCCTTCAGTTTCAAAGCTCTTTCGTTGAAATCTTTGTCTCCGAGCAGTTGTTCCAACTTGTTCTTGATTTCTTCTTTTGTGATGATGCCAGTTTCATTCCTTTCGAATTTCAATCCCACCTTCCAAACGTCACAAATGTAGCTCTCATTAGTGAACTGGTCTGCAAAGTATGTCCAGCACAAGAAAGGAACCCCATTGCTTAGGCCTTCTAGGGTAGAGTTCCAACCGCAATGGCTTAGGAAGCAAGCAATCGAAGGATGAGCCAGAACCTTCTGTTGAGGCGCCCAACCCACCATCCGACCGCGAGAGGCTACTCGCTCTTGATATCCTTCTGGGTAGGGATCACTTGTCGTGTCAGTGATATCTGGCCTCACGACCCAGAGAAATGGCCTCTCGGATAATTCGAGAGCCAGGGCCAATTCTTTGAATTGGGTTGGATTAAAAATTGTGAAGCTGCCAAATGCAACATAGATCACTGAGTTGGGTGGCTGTTGATCCAGCCACTCTAAGCAAGTTAAGTCTTGTGGCCAGAAGTGGCCTGCTGAATTCCCAAGCCGTCTGCTCGCCAAGAGCGGGCCTATCGGTAGAATGTTGGGTGCAAAGGTGAATGTTGCTGGCTCAAGATCATACGCAGAGTTGCAAAGAAGCCAGTCCGCCACTTGCACAGCCTTGTTGCTTTTTAAAATTGATTGAAACAAGATTTTCTGAGTGGTTTTATTACCAATACATGCCCAGATAAAGTTTTCAGGTTTCATGGTGGGCATGTTTGGTGCCAACTGAATGATCACCTGGTTTTTCAATATGGTTCCTGCCATGAGCGAATGAATTGAATGAGCATGGAAAGATGACCATAAAAACAGAACTTAAGAGTTGCATTTCCTATTGCTAATCATGGGGGTTTCAACTGTCTAGAGGATTAGTCACTAATCGAGGCTTCGATAATTGCTTACATATCCCAGATCTATTAGGTTACCGATGTGAGACTCAACACATGCCACACAACCTGAAGTTTCACTACAGTTACCAAAAATTTAGATCAAGCTCAAATAGTCACTAGCAAGGACCAAGTCTACATCCATCTTTGGTAGACCAGTTTGAAACTGCTTATGGCATCGTTAAAAGCATTTTCTGACAAATAAAAGCGCTTCTGATGATGTTTGGATAAAATATAATACTTTTGGGTCATATAAGTGCTTTCTGGACTTCAAAATCTTATCTATCAAGCAAGTGAGCTTGAACAAACCTAATTTAGAACTAGTTGGACTAAAATATTTGCATAACAAGTTAGTGATAGAGGATCTCACATTTCTCACTTACCATCATTGTCAATTATTCCTTCATCAATTAACTTGGGGATGCTAAACTTCAAGGCCAAGACTGCAGCTGATGCCGGCCAAAAGGCGACCACCTTGGTTTTCATCTTCACCGCAATTTCCAGAGCCCACCCGATAGTCTGATCAGCAATGACACAAGTGATTTTATCGCCTTCCCCTCGGTTATTAATCTTCTCTATCAGCTCCTCTAACTTCCCTGGCATGACTCGTCGCGCTGCTTCTGATAACTTTCCTAGGTCATTCCTGTCCTGCCCCGGTTCTAAGCCATCCGGTATTGAAACTAGATCGATGCAATCCCTCCTTATATGACTTTGGTCATCCCCCGAGGAGTTCGTGACGCGGTTGTGATTGAAGTCTGTGTTGACAAACGTGACCTTGAAGCCATGATTCACTAAGCATTGTGACAACTCCATCATGGGAATTACATGGCCTTGTGCAGGAGCAGGAATAACTAAAATATGTGGGCTGTTCATTGGTGTTTCTTATTTTTTTTTCGACTTTCAGAGTGTTCTTATCTTAACCAGATCGATTGACCGAATCTGGGAGGAGATCTGGGGCAGCTGTTGAGGAGCCACTATTTGTTGCTTTTGGTGTTTTGGTCTTGTTTTAATATTCACTGCTTGGATTTATTATGTTGTTGTTTTGTTTGATTTCAGTTTCATTACTTTGTTCTTGATATGTGTGTGTGTATATATTTATAAATAAATATATCTATATATATATATATGTATATACGGCAAACTTCATAACCTTATCCACTGCATTTGGAGAGGGATCCATATGGAAAATATATCCACAAAAATACCAACTTGTTATCAACAAATATCAACGGAATCCCGCTGTGCCAAATAATTGATATTTGTCTCTTGTTTTTATTCAATAATTCATGGAACAAAGTGTTTCGCAGAAATAATTGTTTCCATCAGTTCATGTGTGATTTTTTTGGTAGCTACTAGTTGACTAAATGTTAGTAGTTGATGTGTGCTAGCGACAATCTTCTAATAATTGCCAGTTTCTTATTCATTATTGGTGATAGGATTTTTAGTACATTCGCAAATAAGTTAAAATTACACAAACACATGAAAGGCTTGTAAGAGTGCAAGATAGTTGTAGTATGAACGCTCATGCAAGGTTGTTCTTCACAGGAATTGAGTGAATAATCTGTGTTTAAACTAATCCTTAATTAACTATTTAAAAATAGATTTTAGAAAAGATTGAAGATTTTGTGAAATTTAAGATATGAAAATCACAAACAAAACAGTTTTAATTTAAGGAAAAAAAATGCAAAAACAGAAAGTAGTAAATAGATTTTAAGAAAATTACTTATGGGAAAGACTAGGGTTCAACTGGCGTTATTAACAATCCTCTATAATTTTACCAACTACATATGAATTTTCACATACATGCTTTGAAGGTTATGTTTTCATAATGCATATTTTCATCGTGATGTTCAAGTGAAAACTTATATCCAACATGCAATCCGTCTGTGATGTTCAGATCAAATATAATTAACATGCAAGACTCATTAAGTTCTGTGAAAACCCTTTCAAAACCATGAAACCCTTAAGAGAGTGATGTTCGCCTTAAGTAAAATTACAATTACTAATCACAAGAAACCCTTTTCAATTTCAGGATGATGTTCCACATAAATTGCTTATTTAATTACCCTGATGGTGGCCAATCACTAAGTCAATTAGATAGTTTATGAATGTGTGATAGCCGCAGTCGTCTACGTGCAAATGAATGATTGTCAGTTGTCAATACGTTATAAAATTCACTTGCGTCAACGATTAACAATCGCTATGTGTGAGCGGATAGTTGAAATGTGTGCATATTACATTTTCTACTAATTAGGGTTTTAGTTTTTAAGAATTAAGAAAGTGAGAGTGGCTAGTTGTTTTTTTTTTTTTTAAATTTAAAATTTAAAATTTTTGGTATAGCAACTTTCATTCAAAGAACTAAAATATACACAAAGCCGACAATATACACAAATCCCTCCTCCAAAGACCCAAACAAAAGGCATAAGCCCCGGCCCAAACAAACCCTAACACAACAAGCCAGAAAAAACAAAAATTCCCAAATTGGAATCCATAAACAGTAGCCGCTGGAACCCCATGGAAATCAGTCATACATTCCCAAGGTTGCCAAAAATGCCCCAATTTGCGCATAATCCGAGTCATCCAGATAAACTCCACACTTCCAGTCATAACATCGTCACCCAAGGTGCTTCCAGATCGAAGCTCAATCACCAAGGAGAACAGTCCCATCAAAACAGTTGCGGCGGAAAGTGGCAGTATGAAGACCCGAACCAAAGTTCTGCACACTTTTCCTTGCAGAATTGAAACTTCACTAGAGGAAATTTCACATTTAAACTGGGTATCGAGAACATGACTAAAAATGGGAGTTGAAACCGGAAGATCGGATAGATCTACACAGGGATCCAAGTCGGAAATACAAGCTATCTAGAAGGGACATAGGAGACAAACCGAAGGAAAAAGGAGGAGGAGGGACTGGGGCTGCCACCAACCCAAGCCACAACTAGGATCGGTAGCAGTAAAAGTGAGAAAAAACTATAGAACCAAGCTTGAAAACTAAAGAAAACTCTCACACGTTGAAGAGAAAACTCTCTCACAGAGAGAGAAGCTCTCACCAAAACGGGAGAGAACTTACAAGTATATTAAACTGAGAGTGGCTAGTTTGATATTGTATCTTACAAAAGTGTGCAAAATGGTTTTTTTCAAATTCCATGTTCTTTCTTTATTTAAAACAAGAAAACAAAGAAGAAGACACTCCCATGATCTTTCATCTCAAAAGCATTATCTGTGTCACATCTTCGTCAGCAGCATTTGTCCATACTAGAAGATATTGCTTCTCCTTTTATGAAAAGCTCCAATAAAGTATATTTCTTTTTCTTTTCTTTTTTCAGGTTCGTATATGGGGTTGCCCTCTAATTGGATACTTGCGTTGACTGTCACTGTAGTCAGTAAGCACGAACAAACTCTACTACCCAAAAATCGAATCAAGGAGTTTTTTCAATTAGTTATGACGCAACATGAAACTAACAAGGGGTGCCAACGTAAGCTCTTGAAGAACAAGTTATGGAGTCCATCGGATTTTGTTGAGAACATTTATTTGATTATTGATTGAAAGATGAGATTACATTTGAAGCTAACGGCTTAAATAACCTAATTACAATGCCATGGAAAAATTCAAGGGCCTTATGAAAATAAACGAGATTAATCAGACGATAAACGAAAAGTCTTAAATTATTAAAATGCAGTTTTGGAAGCCTAAACGGTCTTGGATGACCAAAATCCACCGTATATCAAACCAAAGTGGTAAATCTAAACTGTTACATTGTTCTCTTTCAAAAATGTATCATGAGCCTAAATCGGAACTCGGACGTTAAATCTGCAAATTCCTGATGCGTCCTTTTCACTTTCAGTTCATTTTCTCTTCAATCCACTCAGCCATCTGCTCTACATCAAGTTATATATATATATATGTATATATCGTGAAATATGCGTGGTACAATGCTTACCTATCAGGTAAGATCAGAATTAATTTGATTCATATTTCATCCTATCGGCTCTGCTAATCCGACCTATTAACCCTAATTATATATAATTGTATATTTTCAATGTTGAACAAATAGTAATGTATTTAATCAATTCAAATACAAGTATATACACCTTGAACTGTCATTCATGTAATATTGTAGAATTTTAATGTGTGGAGACTAAATTTCGTGACCACGATTCACGGATATAATTAAGATATAAATAGATTTCTGAATTTTATTGTATCACTGTATCAACTGAAGCATGAATCTTATATTAATTCTTAAAAACAGATGATTAGCACATTTTCTTCTTTGCCTCTTCCACTTGCATGCCCTATGATTTCATCCATTCAACAAAATTCTTGAAGATCTTGTTAGATTGGCCGCCTTCTTCGACATTGGCGATGGCCAATTCCTTCAGTTTCAAAGCTCTTTCGTTGAAATCTTTGTCTCCAAGCAGTTGTTCCAACTTGTTCTTAATTTCTTCTTTGGTGGTGATGCCAGTTTCATTCTTTTCGAATTTCAATCCCACCTTCCAAACGTCACAAACGTAGCTCTCATTAGTGAACTGCTCGGCAAAGTATGGCCAGCACAAGAAAGGAACCCCATTGCTTAGGCCTTCAGGGTAGAGTTCCAACCGCAATGGCTTAGGAAGCAAGCAATCGAAGGATGAGCCAGAACCTTCTGTTGAGGTGCCCAACCCACCATCCGACTGCGAGAGGCTACTCGCTCTTGATATCCTTCCGGGTAGGGATCACTCGTCGTGTCAGTGATATCCGGCTGCACGACCCAGAGAAATGGCCTCTCCGAGAATTCGAGAGCCAGAGCCAATTCTTTGAATTGGGTTGGACTAAAAATTGTGAAGCTGCCAAATGCAATATAGATCACTGAGCTGGGTGGCTGGTGATCCAGCCACTCTAAGCAAGTTGAGTCTTGTGGCCAGAAGTAGCCTGCTGAATTCCCAAGCTGTCTGCTCGCCAAGAGCGGGCCTATTGGTAGAATCTCGGGTGTAAAGGTGAATGTTGCTGGCTCAAGATCATACGCAGAGTTGCAAAGAAGCCAGTCCGCCACTTGCACAGCCTTGTTGCATTTTAACATGGACTGAAACATGATTTTCTGAGTAGTTTTATTTCCAAGACGTACCCAGATAAAGTCTGCAGTTTTGATGGTGGGCATGTTTGGTGCCAACTGAATCACCTAGTTTTTCAATATGGTTCCTGCCATGAGTGAATGAAATGAATGATATGGAAAGATGACCATAAAAACAGAATAAGTTGTATTCCTATTACAAATCATGGGGGTTTCAACTGTCAAGAGGATTAGTCACTAATCCAGGCTTCGACTATCACTTACATATCCCAGATCTATTAGGTTACCGATGTGAGACTCAACACACGCCACACAATTCGAAGTTTCATGACAGTAACCAAAAATTTAGATCAAGATCCAGTAGTCACTAGCAACGAGTCAAGGACTAAGTCTACATCCATCTCTGGTAGACCCGTTTGAAACTGCTTATGGCATAGTTGAAAGCATTCTTTGACAGCTAAACGCGCTTCTGATTACTTTTGGATAAAAAAATACTTTCAGGTCATGTTAGCTCTTTCGGGACTTCAAAATATTATCTTTCAAATGAGTGAGCTTGAACAAACTTAATTTAGAATTAGTTGGACTAAAATATTTACGTAACATGGTTGAATAACAAATTAGTGATAGAGGATCTCACAGTTCTCACTCACCATCATTGTCAATGATTCCTTCATAAATTAACTCGGGGATGCTCAACTTCAAGGCTAAAACTGCAGCTGATGCCGGCCAAAAGGCGGCCGCCTTGATTTTCATCTTCACCGCAATTTCCAGAGCCCACCCGATAGCCTGATCAGCAATGACACAAGTGATTTTATCACCTTCCCCTCGGTTATTGATCTTCTCTATCAGCTCCTCCAACTTCCCTGGCATGACTTGTTGCATTGCTTCTGATAACTTTCCTGGGTCATTCGTGTCCTGCCCCGGTTCTAAGCCATCCGGAATTGAAACTAGGTCGATGCAATCCCTCCTTATATGACTTTGATCATCAGGCAAGGTGTTAGTGACGCGGTTGTGATTGAAGTCTGTGTTGACAAACGTGACCTTGAAGCCATGATTCACTAAGCTTTGTGACAACTCCATCATGGGAATTACATGGCCTTGTTGAGAATTAAGCTGCCTCCTTGCTTTAGAGGTATCCTGCAGAAGGTAATCCTGCAGATGAAGTCAAAAGGAAGCAGGAAAGTGTGAAGAAATGAAGACCTTACTAAAATTAGAAGGAGCTTTTTAATTTTCAACAGCTAGTTTCTTCCCCTGTTTTTAGAAAGATTACAGCTGGTGTTTTATCTTTTATTTGTACTGAGCATTCTCATCTTCCTCCAAGTGGATGGATGATATCCTCTGATAACCATTTATGATCGGAGAAGAGTACTAGGCCTCTAGATGTAGGTTCTGGTTTTTTAGACCGGCTGTGAAACAAAAAGATATAGTCTTTGTAATTTGTCTTTTGGATATCAAGAAAATATACAAAGTGACTCTTGCTCTTCTGTTTTCTCTCGAGCCAAAACAAACACAAAATTTCGTCAAACCTTTATTCAAGTTTCAATCTTTATCAACCAAAAACAATATGCCTGGTACCATTTCAAACACTTGTGCAGGAAGAGGAAGGACTAAAATATGTGGGCTGCTCATTGTTTTTTCTGTGTTTGTTTTTTTTTTCCCACTTTCTGTGTTCTAATCTTAATCAGATCGATTGATCGAATCTGGGAGGAGATTTGGGTCTTACTTTAATATTTTTATTATATTGTGGTTTTGTTTGCATTCTTTACTTTATTCTTCATACGTGTGTGTGTGTATATATATATATGTATGTATGTATATATGACAAACTTCATAACCTTTCCACTGCCGTTGGAGAGGGATCTATATTGACAACATATCCAAAACAATATCAATAATTGATACAGATCTCGCTTTAGCTACAGTGAAGCTGGATCTCGCTCAAGCTACAGTGAACGGAATCCCGCTATATCAATTTGATATTTGTTTCTTATTTTTATTAAGAAATTCATGGAACAAAATTTTTCACAGAAATAACTGTTCCCATCAGTTCATATGTGTGATTTTTTGGTAGCTACTAGTTGACTGAATGTTGACGTGTGCCAGCGACAATTGTCTAATTATTGCCAGTTTCTTATTCATTATTTTCACTTACATCAACGATTGACAATCATTGTGTTTGCGTGGCTAATCGTAGCATTACTCTTTGTTGAAAAGTGTCCATATTCTACCAAAGCTCTAGCTACTAGCTAGGATTTAAGAATTAAGAACGTGAAAGTGGCCTAGTTTGAGATAGTATCTTATGACTCTCAAACTTTGATCTTAGATTTACTTCTCTATGATTTCATCCATTCAATAAAGTTCTTTAAGGTTTTGTTAGATTGGCCGCCTTCTTCAACATTAGTGATGGCCACTTCCTTGAGTTTGCGAGCTCTTGCTGTATAAATTTCGTCACCGAGCAGTTGATCTACCTTGTTCTTGATTTCTTCTTTCAGGACGATTCCCGTTTCATTCTTTTCGAATTTCAATCCCACCTTCCAAACGTCACAAATGTAGCTCTCGTTAGTGAACTGGTCTGCAAAGTATGGCCAGCACAAGAAAGGAAGCCCATTGCTTAGGCCTTCTAGGGTAGAGTTCCAACCGCAGTGACTTAAGAAGCAAGCAATCGACGGATGAGCCAGAACCTTTTGTTGAGGCGCCCAACTCACCATTTGACCGCGAGAGGCTACTCGCTCTTTATATCCTTCCGGGTAGGGATCACTTGTCGTGTCAGTGATATCCGGCCTCACAACCCAGAGAAATGGCCTCTCGGATAATTCAAGAGCCAGAGCAAGCTCCAGGAATTGTGTTTGATTGAAAATCGTGAAGCTTCCAAATGCAACATAGATCACTGAGCTGGGCAGCTGTTGATCCAGCCATTGCAAGCAAGTTGAGTCTTGCTGCCAGAAGTTGCCTGCTGAATTCTCAAGCCGGCTGCTCGCCAAGAGTGGACCTATTGGAAAAATCTCGGGTGCAAAGGTGAATGCTGCTGGCTCGAGGCCGTATGCAGAGTTGCAAAGAATCCAGTCTGCTACTTGCACAGCCTTGATGCTTCTTACCATAAATTGAAACATGATTTTCTGAGTGGTTTCGTTACCAATACACGCCCACACAAAGTCTGCAGTTTTTATGGCGGGCATGTTTGGTGCCAACTGAATCGCCTGGCTTTTCAATACGGTTCCTGTAACAAGTGACTGTATGAATGATTACGAAAATATAAAACATAAAAAGAGAACTCAAGAATTTCATAGCCTATTGCTAAACACATAACTAATTAGTCTAATTTATTCACTAATCGAGGCTCCTGACAATTTCTTACATAACTGGATCTGTCAGTAGATTACCGATGTGAGACTCAACACACACAACAGAATCCGAAGTTTCACAATAGTAACCAAAAATTTCGATCAAGTTAAAGTAGTCACTAGCAAGGACTAGGCCTACATATTCAGCACATATCTGCCGGACCTATCTGGGACTGCTTCTAGCATAATTTTCTAACATCCATAAGCACTTCTAAGTTCCAACCATGTTTGACTTAAAAATTAAAAAGTGCTTCTGAGTTGTAGAAGCTTTTTTTGGGGCTTCAAGAAGCACTTAAATTTCTAGTAAAAATTCCAAGCGTGTCTCAAATCCAAATTTTACGTTTCAAATGAGTGAGCTTGAACACATTTAACTAGTTGAACTAAAATATTTACATAACATGGTTGCATAATATTTCACAGGTTCGTGATAGAGGATATCAGAGTTCTCACTCACCATCATTGTCAATGATTCCTTCATCAATTAACTTGGGGATGTTAAGTTTCAAGGCCAAGACCGCAGCTGACGCAGTCCAAAAGGCGACCGCCTTGATTTTCATCTTCGCCGCAACTTCAAGCGCCCACCCGATACCCTGATCAGCAATGACACAAGTGATTTTTTCGTCATCCCCTCCGTTAATCTTCTCTATCAGCTCCTCCAACTTCCCTGGCATGACTCGTCGCATTGCTTCCGTTAACAGTCCTAGATCTCTCCTGTCCTCCCCCGGTTCCAAACCATCCGGAATTGAAACTAGATCGATACGATCCTTCGTCATATGACTTTGACCATCAGGCAAGGCGTTCGCGACGCGGTTGTGATTGAAGTCTGTGTTGACAAATGTGACTTTGAAGCCATGATTCACTAAGCATTGTGAGAGCGCCATCATGGGAATTACATGGCCTTGTGCAGGAACAGGAATAGCTAAAATATGTGGGCTGCTCATTCTCTTTGCTTTCTGTTTCTTCTTTTTTTTCAGAGTTTCAGTGTGTTCAGGTCAAATCTGGGAGGAGCTTTAGGGGTTCTGTTGAGGAGCTACCCATTGCTTCTTGTTTACTGTGTTGAGCTTACTTTATAAGTCATTGCTAGATTCATTATCTTGTTGGTTTGTTTATGTTTTCTTGACTGACTATTTGAGTCGGTTAATACTGATTAAATTAATCGAACGTTTAATGATGTATCGGATTAAAAAACAGACTATTTAAAAAGACAAGAAGAATGATACTTGCATGATCTTTCATTTCAAAAGGGCCCCATACTTCCACAACCATGACTAGATACATACATTATTTGTACCACATCTGACTAGACACAAATCTTTATCAGCTAGCAGTTGAATTTATATTTTTGTCGTATTCTTAGTATATTTTAGTATTTATTTTGATGAAATTTTGATACTATTTATAACTTGTTCATTTGTTTCCTTTTTTTTTTCAGGATCAACTAAAGGCAGGAATCTTTATTATAGATACAACACAAATTTACAAACTATTGACCTATAGACAAAATAAAGAAACAAAAAAGGACCAATAAAAAAAAAAAAGAAAAAGCCCAACCACAGTTTGTTTGTTCATTTGTTTGCCTTTTTTGGTAGCAATTAATTGACCAAATTTTAGTAGTTTTTGTGAGGGAGTGAATATGTTCTCGCGACAGTTGTTTATGTGCATGAGAATGATTGTCAGTTGTCAATATGTTATATGATTCACTTATGTTAATGATTAACAGTCGTTATGTGTGAGCGACTAACTATAGCATTACTCTCTTGGACAGTGTCCATATTCTACTAAGGCTAGTTCTAGCTACTTACTAGGGTTTCAGTCTTTAAGAATTAAGAAAGTGAGAGTGGCTAGTTTGATATTCTATCTTACAAAAGTGTGCAAAATGTTTTTTAAAAATTCCATGTCCTTTCTTTACTTAAAACAAGAAGAAGGATACTTCCTCCATCATCTTACATTTCAAAAAGGGCCCCATACCTCCACAACTATGACTAGATACACACACTGTCTGTGTCACATCTTCATCAGCAGCATTTGTCCATGCTATTAAAGCTGGGACAAAATATTGCTTCTCTTTTTTCTAATAGCTCCAAGAAAATATGCATGTTTTGCAGGTTCGTATAGGGTTGCCCTCTAATTGGATATTTGTATTCTGGCGGATTCAAGATTTGAATATTGAGATTTTAGTGTTTGAGGTTGAAGTTTTTTTCAGAAAGAAACATACCGTGAAATGCGCAAAAAAAAATATTCAGTTTATTCACCGAGGTATTTCGTCGAATATTTGGTTGGCGTTTTGTCGTCAGCCAAATCAAGTTGCACACATGATAAATATTAATAGGTGCCAAAGCAATCTAACAAGTGTTTTTGTAAGAATTTGTTGAGTATTATCAATGCAACCTGCGCAAGACATTTTGTCAAACACTTGGTGTACACAAAAAAACTTGTACCAAACATTTGGAGGGTTCTTGGAAGATCTTCACATGTATATTTCTCTGACTCCGAGTGGTCCTAAGACCACCTTACTTCCAATGTGCATCCACCTCTGCCCCCATTGGCTGTCATTGTACATAGTTGAATGAACACCAACAAACTTTACTACCCGAAAGTCATATGAGTCCTTCTTATTAGTTATTTATAAGATCGTGAAATATGTGCGGTACAAAGGAATTGGATCCTTTCATGAGCCCAAACTTAGGAGCATCCTGACCAACACATAAGGGCCGTTGGATTTTGATCTAACGACTACAAACATGAGGGCTCTTTAAAAGTTATAATAATTATAACCATTAGATCAAAATCCAACGGCCTTTGTGTGTTGACCAGAAGGCTCCTAAGCCCAAGCTCAGAAGAGGATCCAATTCCTGGTACAAATGCTTACAGTCAGGTAAGATCAGAACTCTAATTTAATTCATATTTCCTTTTATTGGCTCTGCTAATCCGCCCTATAAACCCTAATTATGCAATAATATAATTGTATATTTTCACTGTTGGGCAAATAGTTATGTATTTAATCATTTCAATACAACGTTGTTGTCGAGATGTTACTAATATCGATCTCGCATATTGAGGCAGGATCTCGCTTAAGAAAATGCTTTAAAGTAGGTATTAAATATCGGTAATATCGGAAATATCGGTAGTCCGAAAACACGGAAATATCGATGGAAATATCGGAATAATATCGATATCGATAAAAATTACATGGAAACCATGGAAATTGTAAGAAAAACTTGGAAATTTTTATTGAAACTTTGCAGGATGTTTATTTAGTCAATTATCTATTAGTTTATCATAAAAAATTGGAAGGAAATGCATTGCATGATGGATTTAACTTATTTAAGTTGATTATATAGCGAGCTGGCAAACATTGTGAGTGTAGAAAATATGTAGTAATTAATGAAATAATTTTAAACACATCATAATCATTTATATATAATGAATTAGTACAATATTTTACACTTTATACATTGCATGGTAAGATACATGAGTGACTTATTACCTTTTATTTTTTTTATTTAAGAATTATATGTTTGTGGGGGTTTTATTTAAAATTTATATTGAAGATGCTCTTAAATTATGTAAAATTGTGATTGAAAACAATATTTTATTTTATTTTATTTTCAAAATGCAAAATGGGCATTAAGAAAATTGCAAAGAAAGTGCAAAAATATAATTCTTAATTCCCAAAAGTGCAAAAAATCCCAACCCATCATCTTTCTTCATAACCTATCAAAATCCCTATTGCCGTCAGACTCTTTCCCTTTTATTCCCACTTTGCCTTTTAGTCGCCTATCTCTTTCTCTCCATCCATATTCTCTCAAATTCCTCACTCTCCGCATGTCCGACCCCCTCCGTCCTCCTCCGTTATCCCTCCCTTCCGCTAGATCTTGGCACCCCCACCTGAGAAACCACCCCCACCCACCCACCCAACTGATCATCATCTATCCTTCTCCCACTCCCACACACACGCACAGAGACCCGCATCGGCAAATCGGCTTCTGCTTCTCCCTTGTCGCCGCCGTCGTCTCTCTCCTTTCTCTCTGCACCGAGGGTCCGAGACCCACATACACACACGCACACCCATCATCATCAGCAACCTCGTCTTTCTCCCTCTCCTTCTCGTCTCTGCAACTCGGCGAACTCCGGCGAGGCCGTGCGTGTCGACTCACTTTCCGAACACCTCCGACGGTTTCACGGTAAACTTCATATATAAAAACGTTCATCTCGTCTTCTATTTCATTTTCATACCTAGATCGGAGTCTAGGGTCCTGTTTTACAGTCGGCCGGAGCTTCTACAGCTCCGACGTTCTTCTCCGAGTAGGCCAGTTCCGATATTATCCCAAAAACCATTTGGACATTGAAAAAAAAATCGGTTCCCCTAAAAACCGATAATATCGGCATTTCGGACCATGCTTTAAACATATACGATTTTCTCTTGAGTATATTGTTTTATTTTTTATCCACTAGTTTTTTATTTTGTAAAAATGGATTAGCTTGTGGCCAAGCCTAGACGGTCTATGTTTTTTTAAGGCTGCGAAAACTCACAACTGCATTTCAGCCTCCTCTGGCCACATAGTGTAATTAACCAGCATCAAGAATCGAACCCAGACAAGTCGTATGAAATACGGATTAGGAATTTGTCCCAACCATTGTGCCACTCGGTGATGGAACAACCTTTCATTCTTTGTGGAAGTATTGAAAGAGTTGAAGATGTAAACCTGGTAAATTGGTTGATTGACATTGAGATGGCGAAATTTTGTCATATGACGTTTGATGAATCACCATACTTCAAATTTGACGTTGCCTATGACTTGAGCCATTCAATAAAATTGTTAAAGTTCTTGTTAGATTGGCCACCTTCTTTGATACTGGTCAGGGCAAATTCCTTAAGTTTGGAAGCTCTTTCTTTAAATTCTTCAACACCAAGCAGTTGTTCCACCTTGTTCTTGATTTCTTCTTTCGTGATAAGCCCGCTTTCGTTCCTATCGAATTTCAGTCCCGCCTTCCAAACATCACAAATGTAGCTCTCATTGATGAACTGATCGGCAAAGTATGGCCAGCACAATATAGGAACTCCATTGCTTATGCCTTCAAGGGTGGAGTTCCACCCGCAGTGACTTACGAAGCAAGCAATCGAAGGATGAGCCAGGACCTTCTGTTGAGGTGCCCAACTGACCATCAGGCCGCGAGAGGCTACACGCTCTAGATATCCTTCCGGGTAGGGATCACAAGTACTGTCAGTAGTATCTGACCTCACGACCCAGAGGAATGGCCTCTCGGATAATTCGAGAGCCAAAGCCAATTCTTTGAATTGGGTTGGATCGAAAACTGTGAAGCTGCCAAATGCAACATATATCACTGAGCTGAGGTGGCTGTTGGTCCAACCACTCTAAGCAAGTTGAGTCCTGTGGCCAGAAGTTCCCAGCTTGAAATTCCCTTGCCGGCTGCTTGCCAAGAGCGGGCCAATTGGCAAAATCCTCGGGTATCAGGGTGAATGCTTCCGGCTCGAGGTCATGTGCCGAGTTGCAAACAGCCCGTTGTGCCAGTTTCTGGTTGCTGTTGAGTTTTAATACCAATTTCAAATATCATATTCTGCATGGTAAAGTCACCTATGCATGCCCACACAAAGTCTTTAGTTTTCATGGTGGGCATGTTTGTTCCCAATGTCAACATTCTGGCTCTTCAATACAGTTCCTGAAAAATTAAATGGTTACAAAAAGATCAATCGATAATCTGCTCGAAGAGCTCCCCCATCTTTGCAACGGAATTGCTACTTGCGGGAAGTATGAAAACTTAAAAATCCGAGTTGATCTGCTTAAAATGCTAAAGTTTTGATGGAGAAATCTTACCATCGTTGTCAACGATTCCTTCATCAATGTACTTTGGTACACTGAGAAGCAACGCCAACGATGCAGCTGCCGCAGGCCAAAATGCAACTGCCTTGATGTTCATCTTCTCTGCTACTTCCAGGGCCCAGAAAATATGATGATCAGCCATGACACAAGTGACATTTTCGCCATCCCCTCCGTTGATCTTCTCTATGAGCTCCTCCAACTTCCCCGGCATGATCCATTTCAACGCTTCGGATATCTGCTCTAGCTCGCTCTTGTCCTCCCACGGTTCTAACCCATCTGGAAGCGAAACTAGATCGATAAGACTCTCGCCAGCCAAGGCTTTCACTATGCGCTTGTGGTTATACTCCGCGTTCACAAAACTGACCTTGATACCATGGTTCGCTAAGCTTTGCGAGAACTCCATCAAGGGAATTACGTGCCCTTGCGCCGGGTAAGGAATCGCTACGATATGTGGCCTACTCATTTTTCGCTCTCGTTTTTTTCTCTTTTCTTTTCGATTCCTAGATGTTTTCTCATGCAGTTTCTTCACATATCTTATACAGGAGGCATTTGAGGCATGGAATTACTGTATGTTTTGTCTCCAAGGGCATTGGTTTTATGTGAATTTGGAGTTGGGGAATCAACCTTTTTGTGTCTCTTTCCATTATTATGCGTGCATTTCTTGTTGAGTTCATGCCTGGTTTAGTTCATTGTTTTGTTTTCTTGATGATGCTTTCGGCGAACGGCTTTGGTTACCGCCACGCCGTTGTTTTATGTTCTTGTCTTGGCATTGATGGAACTGCCCTTCACTTTCCAAGCAGATGTGGCTTAGGCCGATTGGCTAGGGTTGGCCGTCTCTTGTACTTAGGTTCGAATCTCATTCCTTATAAATTAAAATAGTTTAGAATATGGCTTTGTCGGATTCATTTTACAAACAATAGGAAAAAAATTGTTACCACATGCCACCATCTTTTCTTGTTTGTGTAGTTGTGCATCCTCTTAGCCTTGATCCATTTTACACTGTCACTCATCAGTTACTGGTTAGGAGGATGCTCAAAACTCGAGCAAACTTGCACCTACGATAAATTCTCTTGTTCAATTAAGTTTTATCCTAGTAGTGTCACAGTTCAATAAATGTTTGTCACATGTTTAAAAACGGTACAACTTGTCTAATAAACGATTGTCACGTGTTTAAATGGTGACATAAGAGAAACTATTCTCTTTCACACTTTGTTGTGTATTTTTATTCAAGTGATAGCAGTCAAATTAATCTAAATATTGGGAGGAAAATTCGGATTTAAGTGCATAGGGAAAAGCATGCTACAATGTTAAAAGTTTGGGGAGTTTTTCAAAATCTTCTAGATAAAACAATTTGATGGACCAAATAAAATAATCGCAAAAACTCGGGGGAATATTTGTAATTAACACTTAATTTTACTTTGACTGACATTGTTAAATCCTGTTTTATCCTGGGGTTGCAATTCGAATACCCAAATAGTCCAGTTGCTACTCGTGCAATTTTACCAAATAATAAAAACCCAAACTTTCGTTATCCTCTCAATCCCCCCATTTCCGAACGTTATCCTCTGTCATCTTCTTCATCCTCTCACCAGCTGCTCGGTGCTGGCGGCAAAATCCAAATCCGCATAAATCCTAGGAAAAAAATGGCGGTCTCCATAGCAGCTCTCACATCGTCCCTCTCTTCTCTCTCATTTTCCTCCCACGTAGCTCAGAAGCCCATCATTGCCTCGTTTCCCGGCTCCAAATCAGTGACTTGTTCGCACGTATGCGGAACCGCCACACGTGCCCCTCGTCTGGTGGTGGCTTCCGTAGCGGCAGCTCCTCCTACAGAAGTGGTGGAGACTGAAAACCTCAAGAAATACGTGAAATCAAGGCTTCCCGGCGGTTTTGCAGCTCAGACAATCATCGGGACCGGTCGCCGGAAGTGCGCGATTGCTCGTGTTGTACTCCAGGAGGGCACCGGCAAAGTCATCATCAACTATCGCGACGCCAAGGTCTCCTCTCTCTCTCTCTCTCTCTCTCTGTTTCCACAAGTAGTTAGGGTTTCGAATTGGGAATTTGGGATTTCCATGTTCATCCTGTTTTACCTTTCTGTTAGCTACATAATTTATTTATTTATTAAAAAATGTAGTTGATTTTTGAATAATGGCTTGTATGATTTTTGATGCATTTTTCAGCTGATATCTCTCTGTGATTATGCGATGTCGTGCTCAAAGTGTGCTTCTTTGGGCAGCCAAAGATGTTTGCTTTTCTTTTTACTTTTTGCATTTTTCGCTGAGTTTATGCGCAAGTAATATAAATGTTGAATGCCAGAGGACATGAGGAATGTTGCGGGATGTGAGTGGCAGGCCTGCGGTCTGCTGGTTGATTGGTTGATTTTCGCCGGCTATTCACATCCTGCAATTATCCCTCATCGGAGAATGCCCCCAATAATATTACGGTAGAAAATGCGGTTGTGGGGATGTCCTTAATTTATTTGCTGTGATGTTCTTAGTTATTTATGTTTTACTTTGTTTGTTCTGTTCTTTTCATTTTTTGCTTGAAGCGGCTAGTGATTTTAACTTTTTTCTAGACAATTGTATGTCTGAAACTGTTGGTGCTGTTAAACTAATAATCTCTACGAGGCCTATTCGTCTTCAATGTAACTTTTGTGTACCTCTGTCCGTTATTTTGAACCCATATTTGCCTTGTACGAAATGTCTGACTAGTCTCCTCAATGTTTTGAATTCATACGTTATTCTGTGGATATATTTGTCATGATTTTAGACTTGTATTTATGATGAAAGATTAAAGTGTAGTGGCTAATTAGTTCATCTAATCTTGTAAGAATTTTGATCTGTAATCTGTTTCAAGATATAATTCTGAGTGGACTGCGATGACTTGTGTTAATGGTTTCGTTCATCGTTGCCAACTACTGTGATATTTCTTATGGTCCCATTCCTTTACAGCTTTCAGTATCAGCAACTCCTTGAACAATACTTTCTTTTTTTATATCTCCTGGTCTACGAATATGTGTCTCGTCTGTCATGAATATCATGGTCATGGAACAAGTATAGCAGTAGTTGGAGTACAAGCACCAAAGTTACTCGTTAGGGAATTTTGTTTATTTGTAGACAATATTAACGAAACCCTTATGATTCTGTATTTAACATTGTGTAGGAATATCTGCAAGGCAACCCGTTGTGGCTACAGTACGTAAGAGTACCGTTGGTTACTTTAGGATACGAAAGTGGATACGACGTGTTTGTGAAGGCTCATGGCGGTGGCCTTTCTGGTCAGGCGCAGGCGATTTCCCTTGGCATTGCCCGAGCTTTGCTAAAGGTCAGTGAAGACCATAGAAGACCTCTCAGAAAGGAAGGGCTGCTGACCAGAGACGCCAGAGTAGTTGAAAGGAAGAAGCCTGGTCTCAAGAAAGCTCGCAAAGCCCCTCAGTTTTCAAAGCGTTAGACTTGTCCTTCCTTTTTCTATGCTGTGAACATCGCAAGCCATACAAATATCTTCTTGTGCACTATATGAACAGGTTTCATTTGGAAATGTAAATGTAGATTTAAAGCAAGGAATTTGGTTTTGATTGCTTAGTTTGTTTCTTCCCATACCATGATTACTAGACATATCTAACTTTCTAGTGTTATATCATCTGATCCTCTGAGTTATCGGGCATAAATCCAAGTACCGGGCAGAAGGTAGCTCGCTTGCTGGAAGCCTTTTTTCTCTGCAATTTCCGGCCCCGTCTAAGACTCGGATCAGCAAGAACGCAAGCGAACTGATCCCCATTTGATCCATTAATCTGTTCGATAAGCTCCTCGAGTTTCCCGGCCATAACCAGCCGGATTGTTTCAGACAACTTCCCTGGTAATTACTTGGGGTGCATTTCACTCTATACACAAATGTAGCCATGCTACCATGTAAGACTTGTTATTACTTCTCTAGTTGATAGTTACCAACTTACCATCATGACTTGGTGACTACATTGTACACCAAATTAGCTAGTGAAAAATGCTCTACATCCCAAAATTTTCTTTTCCAACCTAGGCATCAAGTGATATGCACCAACTTGAGAAGGACAAGAAAATTGAAACAAAAATTTATGCCGGTTTTCAAGTGAGATAGAGGTCGTTTGAAATTCAAGAATGAAACTTTAGAGCTTTTCGAGAGCGGAGCAAATAAGGAGAAAATTGGAGATATAGTTCGGCTTTAAGGAGAGAGTACCAGAGGTGAGACTTTGAGAGTCACAAACCAGTAAATGAGATGATATAAGAGTTAGGGTTTTTATATGTCAAATCGAACGAGACATCTAATTTGAATGCTGGTATTGGAAGTTTTTCCAGCCCATATTTTAGATAACTTTTTATAGATTTAGTATCATAGTTTGACCTATTTTGATAAGTTTTGGATCTAATATTGCATCCTTTTGTGGTACGTTTCGAGTTTTTCTCTAAACCCTGAGGCCCCTATAAATATTTGTTCAACGTAAAAAAAAAACATTTTCATCGCGTTATCTTCCTTCATTCCATACCAAAAAAAAGGAGCTTCCTTTGCTGCAACTCAGCCATGGAGGAAGTGTGCGAGGGCAAGGACTTCTCCTTCCCCAAACAAGAAGAAACCATCCTCAAACTCTGGTCCGAAATCAAAGCCTTCGAAACCCAATTGGCGCGCACGGAGGGCCAGCCGGAATACGTCTTCTATGACGGCCCTCCGTTTGCCACCGGCCTCCCGCACTACGGCCACATCTTGGCCGGAACCATCAAAGACATCATCACCCGATTCTTCTCCATGACCGGCCACCACGTCATCCGCCGATTCGGGTGGGACTGCCACGGCCTGCCTGTGGAGAACGAGATCGATCGGACTCACGGTATCAAGCGCCGGGACGACGTGCTGAATATGGGGATCGATAAGTACAACGAGGCCTGTAGAAGCATTGTGACGCGGTACGTCGGCGAGTGGGAGAAGGTTATCACTCGGACGGGGCGGTGGATTGATTTCCAGAACGATTACAAGACGATGGACTTGAAGTTTATGGAATCTGTGTGGTGGGTTTTTGCGCAATTGTTCGAAAAGGGGCTGGTTTATAAAGGATTCAAGGTTGGTTTTTGATGGCATTGTGATTTCCTATGAGTTTTGCTCAATTGGGTAGTGAGAATTTTTGGATTTTAACATGTTTTGATCATGTGTGGTGGGAGATGGTAAATGGGGTTTATTAACATAATGCATGATCGAAAACAATTTCGGTTTCATGAATTACTGTTTTGTTGCTTTTTGATTATGCAGATAGCTCATGTCAACTCCAAAAGCTTGTAATTTGATAGAAATGTCTGGTATTGATTTCTAGTTAGGGTAAAAACTCAATGCTAAATGTACATGGAATTCTATTGCAGCTTAAATTCGGAAAACCGAGAAGAGAGGGAGAGAGGGAGGATAAATGTTCTGTTTGACTTGTTGAACAAAAGAAGGATATGTTGTGTTTCTACTGACATATTTTGTTTTTTGTTGGTAGGTCATGCCATACAGCACTGGTTGCAAGACACCACTCTCAAATTTTGAGGCTGGTCAAGATTATAGGGATGTGCCTGATCCCGAAATTATGGTGACTTTTCCAATTGTGGGAGATCTGGAAAATGCAAGTTTTGTGGCTTGGACAACTACACCATGGACCCTCCCTAGTAACTTAGCCCTCTGTGTCAATGCGAACTTTACTTATGTGAAGGTTCGCAACAACTACTCGGGGAAAGTTTATGTTGTTGCTGAATCTCGGTTGTCAGCTCTTCCTAGCGAGAAACCTAAAGAGAAAAGTACTGTAGTAGAAAATGGGTCCAAGTCTAAGACCAAGGGAGGAGCTGGGAAAAAGGAAACTGTCGCCAGTTCATCATATCAAGTATTGCAGAAATTCTCGGGGGCTTCATTAGTGGGAAATAAGTATGTGCCACTGTTTGAATACTTTAAGGAGTTCTCTGATGTGGCATTTAGAGTTGTTGTGGACAACTATGTTACTGATGATAGTGGGACTGGTATTGTTCATTGTGCTCCTGCCTTTGGCGAGGATGATTATCGTGTTTGCCTCGAAAACCAAGTAATCAATAAGGGAGACAACTTGATTGTAGCGGTTGATGATGATGGCTGCTTTACAGAAAGAATCACTGATTTCAGCGGGTTCTATGTCAAGGATGCCGATAAAGATATTATTGAAGCAGTGAAGGTACAAGTGAGACTACACACAATCACACACACACACACACACACACACACACACACCATAGTGGGGTGATTTACTTGCGCAACCCCCCACTCAATAAGAAGAAAATATAGAGCCATGCCATTCTATGTTTCAAATAAATGTTCAGTTTTAACTACATGTTCTAAACTTAATGTTTTGACATCAAAATATGTAGTCTCATGCGTTCTGATGCTATTTACTATTGTTGCTCTTCTTGTTGTCATCGTTAGTTGAAAAGAATTTAGGAAAAAGAGAGTGGAAAGTAGGAATATGTGTCCCGTTTGTGATGGATTGTTTCTGTACTTTATGCTATGTTGGTTTGTATTTGTATCCTTTATTCTGATATATTTCTTCATATTTTCTCAGGCAAAAGGAAGGCTAGTGAAGTCCGGAACTTTCACTCATTCTTATCCCTTTTGCTGGAGATCTAAAACTCCACTTATCTACAGAGCTGTCCCAAGTTGGTTTATCCGGGTGGAGCAGTTGAAAGAAAAATTGCTAGAAAATAACACACAGACTTACTGGGTTCCTGACTTTGTCAAGGAAAAGCGCTTCCACAATTGGCTGGAAAATGCAAGAGATTGGGCCGTTAGTCGAAGTAGGTTTTGGGGAACTCCTCTCCCTGTGTGGGTTAGTGAGGATGGCGAGGAGATACTAGTCATCGATTCTATTGATAAGCTTGAAAAGCTTTCCGGTGTTAAGGTTCGATTCCTCTTTGTCTACTTTATTTTGTGCAATTATATGTCATGTGGAATATTCCTTGGTGTTTGAATGTCCTGCTTAATTAATTATTATTTTTCGTGATTCAATCTTAGGGGGATAAGACTTTGTTGTTGTTGTTTTGTGATTCAACAATCCAAAATAATACGGTTCTTTTTTTTCCCTTGTGATTTACAAATCTAAAATAATATTTCTTATGTCGATTTAAATAGGTTTTTGATCTGCACCGGCACAATATCGATCATATCACTATTCCATCTGCTCGTGGTCCGCAACATGGTGTTCTTCGACGTATAGATGATGTGTTTGATTGCTGGTTTGAGAGTGGATCCATGCCTTATGCTTATATCCACTATCCTTTCGAGAATGTTGAACTTTTTGAGAAAAATTTTCCTGGGCATTTCGTCGCGGAAGGGCTAGATCAGACTCGTGGGTGGTTCTACACTCTTATGGTGTTATCTACTGCGTTATTTGGGAAACCTGCTTTTAGAAACCTGATTTGCAATGGACTTGTCCTTGCTGAGGATGGAAAAAAAATGAGTAAAAGTTTGAAGAACTATCCTTCACCAATGGAGGTTATTGATGACTATGGTGCTGATGCACTACGATTATACCTCATCAACTCTCCTGTTGTGCGTGCGGAGACATTACGTTTCAAGAAGGAAGGAGTTTTTGGTGTGGTCAAGGATGTATTTCTTCCTTGGTACAATGCATACAGGTTCCTTGTTCAGAATGCAAAGAGACTTGAAGATGAAGGGTTTGGCACTTTCCTCCCTATTGATCTAACCACTGTACAAAAATCATCTAATGTGCTTGACCAGTGGATCAACTCAGCCACACAGAGTCTTGTGCATTTTGTCCAACAAGAGATGAATGGTTATCGACTTTACACGGTGGTTCCATATCTTTTGAAGTTTCTTGACAACTTGACAAATATTTATGTGCGGTTCAATCGCAAGAGGCTAAAGGGTCGTACTGGTGAAGAAGATTGTAGGATGGCACTCTCAACTCTTTATAATGTCCTCTTGGTGTCCTGTAAAGTGATGGCACCATTAACGCCATTCTTCACTGAGGTGCTTTATCAAAATTTGCGGAAAGTTTTGAATGAGTCTGAGGAAAGCATTCACTTCTGTAGTTTTCCTAAAGCAGAAGGAAAGAGGGATGAACGCATGGAGCAGAGTGTTAGAAGAATGATGACAGTGATAGATCTTGGCCGTAACATTCGTGAGCGTCACAATAAGCCTCTCAAGACACCCCTTAAGGAGATGGTTATAGTTCATCCTGATGCAGACTTTCTTGATGATATTGCTGGAAAGCTAAGAGATTATGTGTTGGAGGAACTTAATGTACGATCTCTTGTCACATGTAATGATACATTGGAGTATGCTTCGTTACGTGCAGAGCCTGATTTTAGTGTACTGGGTAAGCGGCTTGGAAAATCGATGGGAGTTGTTGCCAAAGAAGTCAAGGCCATGTCCCAGGAAAGCATTTTAGCATTTGAGAAAGCTGGAGAAGTTACTGTTTCTGGTCATTGTTTAAAGCTTGCTGATATTAAGGTGGTTAGGGATTTCAAGCGTCCTAATGGAATGACAGAAAAGGAGATTGATGCAGCGGGAGATGGTGATGTTTTGGTGGTTTTGGATTTACGTCCAGATGAGTCCTTGTTTGAGGCTGGTGTTGCTCGCGAAATTGTTAGGAGAGTTCAACAGTTACGGAAGACAGCTGCCCTTAAACCTACTGACGTGGTAGAGGCCTACTTTGAATCTTTAGATCAAGATAAATCAGTCTCACAACGGGTTTTGCAATCCCAGGAAGAATACATTACAGATGCCATTGGTTTTCCATTGCGTCCTTCTCATGTGATGCCATCAGATGCTGTCCTTGTTGCGGAGGAGAGTTCCCATGGGGTATCTGGTATGTCATTTGTTATCAGATTGGTTCGCCCGACCAGTTCCAAGTAGAGTTTCTAGAAACGATCAAGTATCTTTAGTCAAATTTCGTTAGCTAATCATTTAGGTTTAATCATGTTGTTACCTCGTTGGTGCTTTCGGGCAAACAGCATTAGTTTCATCACGCCTTTGTTTTATGTTCTTGTTTTGGCACTGTTGGAAAACTATTATTTGCGGAAGTAATGAACACAAGATTTTGGATTACCGTTTACATTAGCTTTGTCTCAGTTGAATCAATCAACTGAGCTATTGATCTTATATTATTAACGCTCGAACCAGATCCATTGCTACATTTTCTTTGCTGCCTATTTCCTTTTGTTTACTCCGAAGGCGTCTCGTCTAAGACTTCATCCATTCAATAAGCTCCCTTCTTGAAGATCTTATATGATTGCCCACCTTCCTCGATATTGTTCATGGCCATTTCCTTCAGTTTTGAAGCTCCCGATTTGAACTTTCATCACCGAGAAGTTGCTCCTCCTTATTCTTGATTTCTCCCTGTGTGATCATCCCGCTTTCATTCTTATCGAATCTCAACCTTCCAAATATCGTAAATGTAGCTCTCGTTGAGCAACTGGTCAGCAAAGTACGGCCAACACAAGAAGGGAAGCCCGTTGCTTAGGCCAACACAAGAAACCAAGGGAGTTCCAACCGCAATGGCTTACGAAGCAAGCAACCAAAGGATGACCGAGAACCTTTTGTTGAGGTGCCCAACCGACCATCAGACCGCAAGAGGCTACTTGCTCTTGATATCCTTTGGGGTAGGGATCACGTGCCAGCGATAACAGCTCAAGAGCCAAAGCAAGCTCCTGCAATTGTGTTTGATTGAAAACTGTGAAGCTGCCAAATGCAACGTACATAGATCACTGAGCTGGGTGTCTGTTGATCATGATCCAACCACTCTAAGCAAGTTGAGTCTTGTGGCCAGAAGTTGCCTTGTGAGTTCCCGAGCAGGCTGCTTGCTGAAAGCCGGCCTATTGGTAAAATCTGGGGTGCTAGGGTGAATGCTGCTGGTTCAAGATTATACGCCGAGTTGCAAACAAGCCAGTCTGCCTCTTTCAGACTTATTGTTTCTTACTATAACTTGAAATACGATTTATCCATTTTACACGTGATTTTATTGGTTTTTTGGTTTATATCATGTTGTTTTGCTGATGCTTTGTGAACGGCTTTAGGTTCATCACTCTATTGTTTTATACTTTTGTTCTATAACTGATGAAACTAGGTTTCATTTTTTATTCTGGAAGCACTGAAAGATTTACACACGTAAACTCGGTTTTAATTTTTGTAGTTTACACCAGCTTGATCTCAACTCCTTGCAAGAAGTAAGTCAAGTATGAAAACAATGCTCGAAGAAGTCACTTATCGTTTCATCCAATCAACAAAACTATTGAAATTTTTGTTTGAGCCGCCACCTTCTTTGACACTATCCATAACCTTTTTCTTCATGTCTAAAACCCTGGCTCCTATTTCATCATTTCCTAGCAGCTGCTCCACCTTGCTTGAGATTTCTCTTCGCGTGACGATACCACTTTCATCCCGTTCGAACCCCAAACCAACCTTCCAAACTTCACAAATGTAGGTTTGGTTTAAAAACTGGTCAGCAAAGTAAGGCCAGCACATAAAAGGCACCCCGTAACTTACACCTTCCATTGTGGAATTCCAGCCACAATGGCTCACGAAACACGCGATTGACGGATGAGACAGAACCCTCTGCTGTGGTGCCCAAGCTACTATCCGCCCACGATCAGCAACGCTGTCAAGAAATCCTTCCGGGAAGGCTTCATTTTTTGTGTGTGCATTATCATCCCTGACCACCCACAAAAAAGGCCTATTGGAGTGTTCAAGCCCCCAGGCCAACTCTTCGAACTGTTTTCGATCAAAAACTGCGACACTACCAAACGCAACATATATGACTGATTGTGGAGATTGTTGGTCAAGCCAATTCAAGCAAGAGTCATCCGGCAAGATGTTTCCGGCAGAGCTTTCGAGTTGGTTGCTTGCCAAAAGTGGACCTATTGGTAGGATCTGTGGAGCCATGGAAAACGCCGCCGGCTCAAGGTCGTAGGTTGAGTTGCAAAGTAACCAGTCTGCTAATTTTGTTGATTGGTTGTTTCTAACCATAAGTTGAAACACATTCTTCTGCAGAGCCTTGCTGCCAAGGCATGCCCACACAAAGTTTGATGTGTTCATGCCAGGCATTTCTGGTGATAACTTAATTACTTGTTTCTTTGTGGGAGTTCCTGCAAATACAAGTCATAGTTGAAGGTTTCAATACAAGGTATATTCTACTTTACACTAATCTAAACTGCATCAAGGAGGATCCAAACTCGGGTGCATAGAGAGAGCACATCTACTCTAGCCAATATGGTACGCCCACGGCTACTAGTCACAATTATGTGCAAATGTGGAAGAGTGGATGTGCTATTGCTATGTACCAGAGTTTGAATCCCCTCTCTATTGTTTTGATTAGTTTAAAATAGAACATATCGTGATTTTAAAAGAAAAAGAAAGATATATTTCATAACTTTCATTTGCGAGTGTTCTATAAATTTAGACATAAAAGAGTGTTACTCCTCACCATCATTGGCAACAATTCCCTCATCAATAAGCTTTGGGATGCTAAATCCAAGCACCAAGAGTGCAGCTGCTGCCGGGCAGAAGGCAGCGCGCTTGATCGCCTTCTGCTCGGCAATGTCCAGGGCCCATCCAAGACTCTGATCAGCAAGAACACAAGTGATCTGATCCCCATTTGATCCGTTAATCTCTTCGATAAGCTCCTTGAACTTTCCGGGCATAACCTGCATGATTGCTGCAGAAAACTTCCCTGGTATTTTCCTATCTTCCAAGGATTCTAACCCATCAGAAACAAATACATGATGAATTTTACTCCCTATTTCATCCTCCACTGCCAGTGCATTTTTCATTTGCATGTGAACATGCTCTGTATCTACAAACGTGACCTCGATGCCGTGTTTTACAAGGCATCTTGAAAGCTCAAACAAAGGAATTACATGGCCTTGTGCTGGATAAGGAATCACCAAAACATGTGGATTGACCATTTCTCCCTCTTTTGTTTTCTTTGCTAGGTTTTTCTTTTGAACACAACGATATCTAAAATACCTTAATTTATAGGAAGAAAAATTCGAACTTAGGTGTAAGGAGACAGACACACTACCTTGATTAATTGGTCTAACTCACATATGTTGTTGAAATTCAATCTCAAGTTTGTATCACTTTTATAGAGAGGTTGGATGTATGGACCAAAACATCAAGAATTTGTCTTCATATTAGTTGGAATCAACAACAAAACTAAACCTAATCTTTCGACCAAAAAAAACTAAACCTAATCACTACCATTTTCTATTGTTGCATCATTGTCCTAGTTAATGGTAATTAAATTCATTATTGTCCTTTTCTTTTGTTGTTACTTTACTGGTTTACATACTTTTTGAATTATGCTGAGGTATGCTGTGGATTTATTTGTTTTCTTCCCTTTTTTTTTCTATCTAAATTGCCATCTCTTCCTAATGAATTTATTTATTTTTAGTTACGCCCCCTGGAACTTGATTTTAATCTCACTTTACTTCCTATAATTCAAAAGTCGTCACTTTACTCCTTGAAATTCAAAGTTTGCTTCACTTTGCCTCCTGAAAGTCGATTTTGTTTCCATTTTGCCCCTTAAAACTTAATAGTCATCTCTATAAAACTTAAAATTGGCTCAACATTGCCTTAGATTTGTTAATTTCTTATGTGGGTTTGATTTGAGTGCGCCAGGCTAATCAATTTTTTTTTTTTTTATCATCTCTTCAATTTCTTTTAAACTTAACATTCTCCGATTGTTCAATGTCAACGCATAATGAAGATTTACAATTGAGTTTATTGCACATGTGACATAGTCTTATTGTGTGTTGGGTCTCACATACGTTTTAGGAGGCAAACTATAAGTTTTAGGGAAAATAGAGAGTTCACAAGTCAAAGTGGAACGAATTTTGAGTTTCAAAGAGTAAAGTGATGATTTTTTAGTGATAGGAATGGAGTGAGATCAAAATAGAGTTCTAGGAAGCGTAGCTAAGAATAAGCCTTTTTCATATGCTAGCGGAATTATTGAAAGCTTGAACTTTCGAAACGGGGCTTGGGACATACTTTTGAAACTCTGGGTTGGTTCCCAGAAACTGTTTGGGCCAACAGAAACTGGGATGGCATGGTGGGGATTAGCTATGCTCCAAATCCACTTCCCTTCCCATCTCGTCTTCTGACGCAGCGAGAAACGGGATAGAAAATGTCAACAAATGTCAAATTTGATAAAGAGACAAACAGAATTTCTCCACTTCGAGAAAAGTCTCACATTGATTAATAATACGTAGAAGAATCAAATTGCAACTCCTCCAAACTTGACCTTTCTGTAGGTTTCAAACCCTATCTGTTTGGGTTAAAACTTAAACTTTGGACTTAGAAGGGAGTTGGCCCAAAAAGAGAAGGAAAAGCCCGAAGCTCAGCCCAAACCCAGAAAGCAGAGAAGGCCTTTCCCGACTAGGTGAAGATCATTTGCACCACTTGCTCACCTACCCAAAGGCCAAGTGGTATAGACCAGCAAGCTATACAGCCCATAAAGTACTTTATAGTGGCAGTACAAGTAAAATAGCTGCATTCGGGCAAGTTTGTTGCTACAGGAGGCCAAGCCAAGGTATCTATAAAAAGAGAAAGAGAGGTCAGAATCGAGGACACTCAAACAAACAAATACAAGCACAAACTCTGCTCAAAAGCCAGATTTGCCTTCAAAACGAAGCTGTAGTCAGCCCAAGCCTTCATCCCTCTCGGGATAAACCTTTGTAATAGCTCTGCTACCCTGTTCAACTCTTGTTGTAGTATCGATCTCTTTCTTTTTGTAAACTCACTTCCCAACCCTTTTTCTAAGCTTTCAAACCTCTTGATAAACCACAAAGATAGGAAGTTGCAAGACGATCAGCCTTGCCCGACCTTCTTTGTTTTTGTCTTTTCATTCATTAGCCTAGCAATATGTTGTATACTACAAGCTGTATCCAAGTTATTTCTAGTAATATGGCTATTAAAAGACTCTCTCAGCACTTGAATCCGATTTGAATATGTCTTCACAGTTCAAGCCAGATCTAAGTTCTAAGCCCTCGGGCATATAAGATTTGATCATTCTAAAAAGTCCTTGGCCTCAAGGCATAAAAAAGAACCTGATGTGGACTTAACCCATCCACTACAAGCTTTGATAAACAAGAAGTCCGAAGTTACTTGGGGCGCAAGTAATCGACCTGTCACTTAGTTTTATTGCTGTTATATTATGATTACTATATAACGTTCGAGGACGGGATGAATTCTGATGGGAAACCTCAAGGCCTACACCTAAGGCCCCACAAAGGCACCTATTTGGATTCATCTTGTTTCTTGGGCAAGAACATTGAGTATAGAAGGGGTTCTGATGGGAAGCCTCAAGGCCTATTCAATGCCCCACAAAATCACCTATTTGGATTCATTCTGCTCTTTGTGCTCTGGCAATCAGAAGTATGATGGTTATAAGACCCATATAACCAAGAAATGGAACTGTATGTGTTCGAGTACTAAGTTAGTTATTTATGGGAAGCCTCAAGGCCTACACCTAAGGCCCCACAAAGGCACCTGTCAAATAACTAATATAGTCTCTCGAATATATAATTAAACTCAAACATCCGTTCTACATCTGCCATGCTGAAGATGGCAGTGGCACGCCTGAGCACTTAAAGGTTAATCTTGATTGTGAGCCTCAAGGCCTATACCTAAGGCCTAACAAAGGCACATTTCAAAGTTAACTCTGTCCTTCTCTTTTAGCCTTGCCCGACAAGCTCGTCAGTAAAGCAGGAGCCCGACAAAAAGCATCAACCGGCGCCAACCTCTCGGGGAGCTGTGTGCTCGTCGAACAGGAAGCATCCCCCACGGAAATTCCCGCCACGAACACTATCTCTACTAGAAAATGGAGGTCGAATTAACAAAGGATACTTACGAAAAAAGTCCTCCTTAAATCATTATTTCGGAAGCGCACTTGATCGACCAACAAATATTCAAAGCTGACTTGTTGCCTCTTCTTGCCGAAAGTTGTTCTTGAACGCGTGTTTTCCTTCTTCGTATTTAGCTTTTCTAATCCAAGAGTACAACCATTTTTTAGTTAATTCACAATTTTAAGTTTTGTAACTATGTTCCTCCAAATTTCCTTTCCCACCTTTGGTGTCAAACGATGTGCAACCCACACCAGTAATTGCATTCAAAGGCACACCAATTTGCGAGGAGGAAAAGAATGTTGGAAGAACAAGTTGGCATAAGCGATCATGCCACAAACTTCAGAATACCAGTTCAAAATCTGACTTCAAAATTTGACAACTAGTCAAATCATAATCCCACAACTAGTTGAAAGGGGAAAGCCAAATTAATCATCCCAGCTGTTTGCACTCAAAATATACCCATTTTTACTTATTTGGACAATTTGGGTAAAATATGGCATTTGGAGGATTAATGAGCAAGAAGACTAACTTCGAAGATATTTAACTATCAAGTGGGATAGGTTGGCACTATAATATTGTTTCTCCCATTTGTTTTGGTGGTGGAGGTTTGCCAAGACAGTTGTTTAATCAAGATAAGTGCATGCTTTTTCATGCAAGTGGATGGAAAGATACCATGCATGCTTTCGGGCAAGAATGTGTAGTGAAAGAAGCTAGTTTGCTTCTTTTAATTATTTTATTGCAAGTGGGAAAAGGCATGTGGTGGAGATGCAACTTGCTTCTTTTTTAATTGTTAGTTTATTACAAGTGGGGAGACATGTGCTAAAAACATGTGGTGGAGATGCAAGTTTCCATTTTAATATTATTTCTCCATGCAAGTTGGCAAGTGAAATACAAACTGCCCAAGTTTCTTTCGGGCAGATGCAGTGTTTTCAGCAGGGGGTTTCTTCCAGATCTCTATTTAAAGGAGCCCAAACAGAAGGATTATGGACACTCAAAACAACCAATCAAAACTCTACTCAAATTAACTCATCAGCTTCCTTGTAGACATTTATTTTTAGCCAAGCATCCTTTGCTTGTCTTGTTTATTAGCTCTACTACTCACTTGTAGTATCGATCTGATTTGTAGCCTTTATGTACAACCCTCTTTCAGTCATTTAATCTACAAGCAATCTGCAATATATTAGTCACTTTCCTCTGTCATTTATATTTCCAAGCAACCTTGTCATTTACATATTGTTCTATCTCTCCATATAAGTAAAGTCCTTATTTTTAAGGCAAAGAAAGAACATTAATTTGAGCAACTCCCACTCAAATGGCACAATCTCTTGATTTGAAGTCAAAAGGCGCAACCTCAATCATTCAAATCCCGTCTACTAGCGGCATCTAGTAGTGGCACGCCCACACCCACCAATCTCGTATGTGAAGTAAATCCCCGGCTTGCCCGCAAGGCACCATGGCGGATTTAGGAAGCGAACATATTTTAGCACGCCCGGTGGGATCCTTATATGAAGATAGATCATGAAAAATCCTTATGTTCATGATTTTTCTACTTTTTCGGAGGATGACGGTGTAGAAGAGTGCCCAAGCTATGGCTATCACATAGAGCCAACCTATGAGTTGCCAACTTATGGGTACATGGCTGGAGAGTACTCAAGTCCCATGGAATGATTGTCAGCCAACTCATGGCCATCAAATAAATAATAATATTGAAGATTGGCCAACTTATGGCTATGATGAAGGTTATTATTCTTTTGAAGACAATCGCATTCATGAATACTATGATAGGCCAACAAATGGCTTTGAGTATCAAAATGCTTCCAATGAGTACATAGAGCCAATATATGAGATGCCAACTCATGATCATCTGGATGAAAAGCTCTACAAAGAGGATGTCGGCAAATTGGAGAAGGCGTCCAAACTCCATATGGCAAGCATTGAATATGGTGAAGAGGTGACTAAGTGTTTTAAAAGGGTGGAGGAAAGCTATACAACTTTTGGAGAAACTTTGAGAAAGTTGATAGATCAAATGTGTCAAATCCCCTCTACAAAGCACACTCACCCTACTACAACCAAGGAAGAACAAATCATACATATTGATGAAGGCCAAACAATGGCCCCACCCAATGAAAAATCCATGAAAATGGATATGGTTGTAGAAGATCAAGCCATTGTAGGCCAAACACCAACGCTCGGGGGGCTCGAGCCCACACCTCATGTGGAGCCCGAAGAAGAAGAAAAAAGCTCATACACTCCTCCCTGCCAACACAAGCATGTTATCCATATCGAGATCTCAATGAGGGCAAAGCTCGGGATCAAACATGAATGGTCACCTCCTATGGTTCCCAAGCTACATAGCATGACCAATTTAAATGGTGGATTTGATCTCTCTACACTCAATTTAAAAAAAAAGGAAAAGATTTGAGTGTTGAGAGAAAAATAACATTTGGGCAATGAAGGGGTTTCATCCAATATGCCCGAATATGCCCGAATAAGGCTCATTTTTGTTGTTCCTCTTTGACCGAAGTGAGCTTTCCTTTATTTTCCCTTCTTTTTCTCTTTTCTCTCTTTCCTTTTCTTACTCTCGTGTCTTTCTGTTGTCCTCTGCCCGAAAGGGCTATATATATTATATGTTGGGCTAAATATATATATACATATTTATATAGTATTATAATATATTTTATAAAAGTATTGCCCGAAAAGGCTAGATATATAGTATTATAATATATTATAAAAGTGTTGCCCGAAAGGGCTTTTTATATATATTTATAATATATATATTATATTATATAATGTGTAAGTAAATAAAAGAAGAAAAGATAAAAAATAGGGTTGTTTTTCGCAATTTGCCCGAAAGATGCTTCTCTCTCCTTTTCTTTTTACCTTTTTATTATTTATTTCTCTCTCATTCTTGTCTTTTCTCTCTTCTTTCTTTCTCTTTTTCTTTCTTCCTGTTTCTCCCTCAGTTTTTGTCTACCAAAAAGTTCACATATATATGTATTTTATTATATATTATACTATGTGTTCTACCATATATATGTAGTGTTATATTTTATATTATATGTATGTAATTTCTTTGCCCAAAAGGGCTAATATTTTATATATATATATATATATATATATATTTATATATATGAAAAGAGGCAAAAAAGAAAAAGAAGAATAAAAAGGATAGTTGCCCAAGTTTATTCATCTCTTATCCCTCTTTTCTAGTTTGTCCGACTTCGGGCATTTGTCCAGTTTATTATCTATGTAACCAGTAAGGTTGTTCCCATGTTTTTTGGTATTAACAAGGAATACAAGCCAGACAACATTCTTTCCAATACTAGTTGTACTACCAATTGCCTTGCTCATCTTGCCAAGTTTATCAACGACAGAAGGACCGAAGAGGTAGACGTGCCTCTTCCTTTCTAGCAGCACTAAAGCCACCAAGGCTTTTTGGGAAGTCATAGCAAACAAAGTTGCCATTTGTGATCAAGTGTTCTTCATGCTCAAATGTCTCTTATGCTTGCTATATCATCAATCTTCTGGAGGAGCTTATTAGAGTTGTAAGTTTCACAAACTTTGCTCAAATTTGTAAAACTTGGGGGGCACTGTTTGCACTCAAAATATACCCATTTTTACTTATTTGGGCAATTTGGGTAAAATATGGCATTTGGAGGATTAATAAGCAATAAGACTAACTTCGAAGATATTTAACTATCAAGTGGGATAGGTTGGCACTATAATATTGTTTCTCCCATTTGTTTTGGTGGTGGAGGTTTGCCAAGACAGTTGTTTAATCAAGATAAGTGCATGCTTTTTCATGCAAGTGGATGGAAAGATACCATGCATTCTTTCGGGCAAGAATGTGTAGTGAAAGAAGCTAATTTGCTTCTTTTAATTATTTTATTGCAAGTGGGAAAAGGCATGTGGTGGAGATGCAACTTGCTTTTTTTTTAATTGTTAGTTTATTACAAGTGGGGAGACATGTGCTAAAAACATGTGGTGGAGATGCAAGTTTCCCTTTTAATATTATTTCTCCATGCAAGTTGGCAAGTGAAATAAAAATTGCCCAAGTTTCTTTCGGGCAGATGCAGTGTCTTCAGCAGGGGGTTTCTTCCAGATCTCTATTTAAAGGAGCCCAAACAGAAGGATTATGGACACTCAAAACAACCAATCAAAACTCTACTCAAATTAGCTAATCAGCTTCCTTGTAGACATTTATTTTTAGCCAAGCATCCTTTGCTTTTCTTGTTTATTAGCTCTACTACTCACTTGTAGTATCGATCTGATTTGTAGCTTTTATGTACAACCCTCTTTCAGTCATTTAATCTACAAGCAATCTGCAATATATTAGTCACTTTCCTCTGTCATTTATATTTCCAAGCAACCTTGTCATTTACATATTGTTCTATCTCTCCATATAAGTAAAGTCCTTATTTTTAAGGCAAAGAAAGAACATTAATTTGAGCAACTCTCACTCAAATGGCACAATCTCTGGATTTGAAGTCAAAAGGCGCAACCTCAATCATTCAAATCCCGTCTACTAGCGGCATCTAGTAGTGGCACGCCCGCACCCACCAATCTCGTATGTGAAGTAAATCCCCGGCTTGCCCGCAAGGCACCATGGCGGATTTAGGGAGCGAACACCAGCGAACTCCATATATAAGCTGGAAGGATCAGGAATTAGGAATTGCAGTGTTGTGCCTTAGACGTTCAAGGAGTGATAAGTTTCTTGAGGTCCTCCAACCTGCAAAACCAGGTTGGTATTATCTGTGAAGCATAGGGATAAATATCCTTGTATGTCCTTTTAGTTGTCCCTACAGCAACACCATCAGCTGCCTTTGAGACATCTGCAGATCCACATAGTTTAGATCAAATCCATGCAGACAAATCAAGCATGATTGTAAGATAGATTACAGAAATAATCAAATATACAGACCAAATTAATCTCAAAGTACAACAAAAACAGACATTTATTAATCAATGGGAAGATGTTATTAGCACTGTACAAAAATCATAATGTTCTACTCCCTAATGAAACGATAAGGAAGGTATCGAATCCTGAATCTCTAGCCTAGTCTACCCATCATCCTACCCATCTTCCCCAGTAATTAAGTTCTAATATATGCTTCTTAATTACTAAGATTAAGAAGTTAATCATATATAAATTATAGATCCATGCATGCTTAATTTGCTATAAAACATGCATAAATAAGCATACTAGAAAGAGTTTAAAATACCTTGAACAGAACAGTTATTCCCATTAGAAAGCTGAACTACCATGTACATAACCGCTGCCACAACAGAATTAGGGTTTCTCCTAATATCAAAATTTGCCAAATTCTTCAGGGCTTCTTCCACAGCCTTCTTATCTTTACTACTCATACCAAGATTCGAACAATGTCGCGGCCAAAGGTCCATGGCGCTTTTGATCTTGGAAGCAATCCCTAGGCTTCTCTTCAACTCTTCTTTCATCTTGCTGATTTCTTTTTTAGATGGCCCATTGGCAACCATGGTGATTTCCTTTAGTGTTCGCGTATTTGGGCTTTCTTCAAACGCAAGCAAGAGGCAAGCAGCCATTATGGGGTTAGAATTTCTCCCCTTACAGAAGTTCTTATCATCGGCCTTCTTGTATAAACCTTTGGCATGATCCAGTATGCATTTCGGAACGCCTTCGTATATGTCTAGCCGGTCGGCCATCTCTTCGAGGTACTTGAAAGATTTTAGGAGAGAATTGCTAGGGTTTACAGCCCTGTTGGTCCATTTATTAGGAGGAAAATTACCATCGGCATCAGTACCCTTCTTGTTGTTTTTCTTCTTTTCTTTGAATATACAAGTGGAAAGAACACCATTATCCAGCAACGGATCGGAGGCTTTTCCGACGCGAGTCCGGTCTTCTTCAGGGTTCTGATCGGCAAAATTTCGCCACTCGGCTCTTTCATCGATGTAGCGGGCTTCGAGGATCAAACCACAGAAGGTGCAGATTGTGTCACCCGACCTGTGGTCGGACACGACGTCTGTCTCTTGCTTGCAGTCCCTACAGAACTCTTTAGCTTCCATGATTTTCAGAGAGAGAGAGAGATTTGCGGAATAACTTATGTTTTGTATTGTGGGATGTAGAGCCAGGGTATGCCATATTTATAGAGAAAAAGCTTCGGTTAACCGACTCCAATGTGACCGACTATTTCAAATTCAAACACTACACAGCGTGTAGTGCAAAGGGAAAAGGATTCCTAAAAGGTGTAGAACCGTGTCGACTGGGGTCCACATTCCACGAGGCAGAAATATATGGACGCAAGAGAACAAATAATACCGTCCGATACGTCACGTATTGCAAAAGAGATAGTTAAAAAGAAAATTTGTTCAAATATTCACTATTATGATAGTTGTGTTTTTTCGGTATATTGAAAAAAAAAATTAACAAAAAATTGGCAGTCTTGTTCTCCAGGACCAGGAAAACTCACAATCAACCCCAGCTGGATTAAATCTAACGGTGAAGCAAAAATTATTATTTAAAAGTATTTCCTTTCGCTTGCACTTTCTCTCTCCACATCAATCGCTAGCAATTTCTCAAAATCCCAATTAAATACATCTTTAATTTCAATTTCTTAGTGAAAATTACATCAAAACTCTGTAAAATTACTTTAGTCTAAAGAAAGCATGGGAAATAGCACTGTAGAAATGAATAGTATCAGTTTAATTACAACAATGCCATTGCTCTAAGGATTTTGCCCGGGCTTTTTTTTTTCTTCAGGTTTAGTTGTATGGGCTTTGCAGGTTTGGGCTGTGATTGGGTTGGTGGGTTTTGTTTGTAGTTGGGTTTTTCGGATGATGGCCGACACGGGTAGGCCTACCTGCAACCATGGCAAAGAGAGGAGAGACGGGTCGTACGATGCCAGAGAGAAGACATAGAGGATGAGTCGTCGGATGGCAAAGAGAAGAGAGAGGGGCCGTGCGATGCTGGACAGAAGAGAGAGGAGGACTCCTGGAAGGAAAAATTGGAGGAGAGAGGGAGGATACACAGGCCCTGACATATTGGAGAGAGATGGGAGCTACGGGTTTGGACTGAGTGAGAGAGAGATTTAGGTAGGTGCTCTGCCAGGATCTATGGGATTTTCTCCGATTTTAGAGAGAGAGATGGGCAGGGAGAGAGATACAGAGCAAAAAGCATGAGTGTGTGCAGTCTTTAGGGTTAACGGGTTACGCATAGAGGCGGTGAGGAGGGGATGGGTGAGGGACCAATGGCAGGGTGTGAGTTTTCAGCTTTCTCCCTTGATTCAAAAGGTAATGCACTGTATTTCCTTAATTGTTTAGTGTCTAATTTGCCATTTGCTTTGTTAGAATTGCCATTCATATTTGGTTCTTTCATCCAAATTGCAATGCATGTTAATAATATGTTCGGTTGGGTGCTAGGATTAAGACTCATTTTTTGTAAATTAGGGCCTTGCACTGATTTAATTTATTTCTTTCTTGATAAATTTTTGTATGATTCATCAATTTTCTGTTGGCAATTGTTACAAATTTTGTATTCTTTCATTAAAATTATCATAGATCTTTGTATATTGTTTAGGTCACCTTATGGTTAACTCTATTTCAACTTATTGTTTTAAATTGTTGTTCACTGTTTGCTTTGCCATTGCATTTATTAAAATTGTCATAGATATTTTTTTCTATCATTAATGCTCTCATAGATATTTTATATTGTTTAGTTAACCATTAGGGTTTCCTCTTAGTCATTTGTAGGTTGTTTAGTTCACCTCTAGGTTAGCTGGATGTCCAAACTTATCCTACAATTTAATCCATTGTCCTAATAACCATAATGTACATTAATTTCTGGTGCTCCTTTGCTATAGGTAGTTGTTACCTGTTAAATACATCAATTTTTGCATAACAAGAACCAACATTTGACAAGTATAAGCAGCTTGACCAACACAGAGAGAAAACACTTGAATTTACAGCAAAATGAAGGGTTGACGCAAAAACAAAAATAATTTAAGTAAAAAAACACCTTAATTTACAGAGTTTATTGTTTGAATTTTGCTGTTCACTGTTTGATTTACCATTCCCTTTATTAAAATTTGCATGGCTAATTTTTCCTTCATTAAAGTTGTCTTAGATATTTTAAAATTGTTTACTTACCTATTAGACTTTCCTCTTAGTCTTTGCAAATAAGGGGAGTACACAGTGTTGAAAATTCTGATATTTCTGTTTTTCAGAATTTTATTTTCCTTTGCTTATGAGTAAACAAAATTAAGACTCCTTTCTAAGTTTATTGCTTTAAAATTTGGGTGTGTAGGCTGTTTATCTCACTGTTTAGTTCACTGTTAAGTTGATATTTCTGTCTTTATAAGCAAAGGGGTTGCACTGTTTTCATTTTTTGTGTTTCTTCATACTTTCCTACTATTTGCTTCTCAACAAATCATCTTCAAGTTCATTTTCCACTTCACATCTTTTGAATATCCATATGTTGCTAGGTTGTTTTTTCATTTCTTGCTTTCTTATATATTTCTGAAATTAACTTTTTATTTCATTCTTGATATGCATGTAGATCCAACACAATCATACAGATCAAACCATCCATTCACACAGCAGCCACAAAACAGACCATTAGTGAGGTATCTATCTATCCATTTTAAATTTTGTTTATACAAAGTTTTCCTTCTAATTTTTTGTTGATACAACAATGATTGATTATGAATACTTGACTACATTTTATGAATGAGTTTAACAACCAAACTTAACTTTTTCTGCTTAAAGCATTGAATTTTTGCTTTTGGTTTTTTTGTTGTTGCTTTGATTGTGGTCATCAAAATTTGTTGTATGTTTGTGTACAGATGTATGTGCAAGTATATGTATCAATATATACCTAAGTATATATCTAAATATATGTATAGGTTTCTGTATAGCTATATGTATATGTGTGCATATATGCCTGTGTATGTACATATGTATGTATGCATCTTTGTTTGTATGTACATGTATATGTAATGGAATAAAGGTATTGTTGTTTTTTTATTATCTTTATTGTTTGAGTGAGGAATGTAAAGTTTATACAAATTGCTTCCTGATGATGTTTATGACTGGTTTCTGTCAATTGGTGTATCTTTCCCAATTTTGGTTTAACTTAATAGTAACAATTTTGTCGAACTTGAAACCCTTTCCACGAAGAAAACTCCCAAGTCTTCAGCTAGACCATAAGATAAAGTGAGAGCCTTCCATTATTGTGCTTTGCAAAAAGAAAAATTGTGGAAACTGGAAAGGTATTTAAATTCCCCTCGAGACTAAGTAATCGAATCAGCGTCCAAGCTGATGCAATTGCCAATTAGCCAGTCTTCTTTTCTTACAAATTCCACCACTAAATATTTATCACTACATGTTTCCTTTAACTTTCTTATTTTACAAAAGTTTGAAAAGAAAAACAAACACAATTTAATAATTCAATTGAAATAATACAAAGTTTTTGCTTTTTGTATAAAGCTTACGCTCATGCACTCATCGATTATAATTGGTTATTTTTTTCAAATGTCATATAAACTATTATACCTTTTTTGGAATTTTTAGGCCATTTCAACACTTCACTGCCTTTATAATAAGTTGCATTCGACAAAAAAATTATTCCAGGGTTTCTTAAAAAACACAGAAAAAGGGTTGATCTGGAAAACAATGTTCTGAGGAGTTTTCTTTCAAATAAAGGGAACGACCTACGCTCTCTTCTCTCTGTGTCATTTTCAAGATGACTAATAAATATAATAATTGGGACCCTCCAATCTATAATATTTTGGATGAAGAAAATGTTGTGAACTTTAAAAAGGCTTGATTTTGAACAAGATCAAACAATGGACTGATATTTTTGATATGATAGCAATAAAAGGAATGAGATTGCCATAATTGACCACATTTTATTGTGTGTACATGATTTAGCACGTTGAATTCTCAAAGTTTGCAGTTAACCACAACTCCATGTTAGTGAGTTTCATATACTCTTTTAATAGTTCACATAAGCTTTTACAAGAAACACAACATGTTTTTTGGCATAATTAGATTGTCATCCTTGAATAGGATGCGTTTCTCATTCAAACCAGGTGTATAAGATTGAATATTGAATTTGATCATGTAATTTGTGGTGCTCCATTGCACATAGCCAGTAAGCTGCATTAAAGGTGTCATTCATATTTTTAAATTATTTAGTTAACTATTTGAGTTTGCTTTTTGTGAATTAAGGGACTACATTGTCTTGATATTTGTGTTTTTCAGATATTTTTATTCCCTTTGCTTATAGGTAAACAAAATTGAAGCTCCTTTTTAAGTTTATTGTTTTTAAATTTGAGAGTTTAGGCTGTTTAGTTTACTGTTGAGTTCACTGTTAAGGTCAGATTTGTGTCTTTATAAATAAAGGGGTTGCACTGTGCTCATTGTGTGTTTCTTCGTACTTTCCCACTAATTGCTTCTCACCAAATCACCTTCAGGTCTTTTTCCATTTGACATCATTCGAATGTCTCTATGTTGCTAGGTTGTTTTTCCATTTCTTGATTGCTTCTGTATTTGTGTGATGCACTTTTTAATTTTATTTTTCATATGCATGCAGATCCAACACAAGCATACAATCAAACCTTTCATTCACACAGCAGCCACCAAATCAACCATTACTGACGTATTTGTCTATCCATTTTAAAATTTTGTTAAGTTTTCTTAACTTTTATAAAAACAAAATTACATCTCTATACTCTGTTTGAAACTTTCTAACAACCAGTATGGACAGCAGGTTTATATGTCTATTTTTTGTTTTTAGGATTGGTATTTTTTCATTTAACTCAACTTACTATGCATCACTGACTATTACATCACAATAGATCTCTTTGTTCCATCCTTTCTCAATGTTCTGCTACAAAGTTTTTTGACTTGGTCAATTTAGAAAGTTGGAGGGTTGTACACCTCATTTGCTTTGTGCTGATTTTAGTTCTCATCTGTTTTTCTCATTCTGACAACCTTATTTTGAATGTATACTTATTTGATTTGTGGCTTTTGTGTGGTATGTTGTGTAATCCTCACCATCATTGGCAACAATTCCCTCATCAATAAGCTTTGGGATGCTAAATCCAAGCACCAAGAGTGCAGCTGCTGCCGGGCAAAAGGCAGCGCGCTTGATCGCCTTCTGCTCGGCAATGTCCAAGGCTCATCCAAGACTCTGATCAGCAAGAACACAAGTGATCTGATCCCCATTTGTCCGTTAATCTCTTCGATAAGCTCCTTGAACTTTCCAGGCATAACCTGCATGATTGCTGCAGAAAACTTCCCTGGTATTTTCCTATCTTCCAAGGATTCTAACCCATCAGAAACAAATACATGATGAATTTTACTCCCTATTTCATCCTCCACGGCCAGTGCATTTTTCATTTGCATGTGAACATGCTCTGCATCTACAAACGTGACCTCGATGCCGTGTTTTACAAGGCATCTTGAAAGCTCAAACAAAGGAATTACATGGCCTTGTGCTGGATAAGGAATCACCAAAACATGTGGATTGACCATTTCTCCCTCTTTTGTTTTCTTTGCTAGGTTTTTCTTTTGAACACAACGATATCTAAAATACCTTAATTTATAGGAAGAAAAATTCGAACTTAGGTGTAGGGGTGGGTTGGAAAAACCGAAAACCGAAAAAAACCGGACCGAAAACCGAACCGAGACCGAAAAAAACCGAACCGAAAAAAAAACCGAACCGAAGCTGTTGAACCGAACCGAACCGAAGCTGTCTGGTTCAGTTTCGGTTTCTGAGGTTCGGAAACCGAACCGAACCGAAGTCTTCAAAACGACGTCGTTTTATGCTATTTTATTAATTAATAATCCTAATTCTAATACGCCACCGTTTTACCGAGTGTAACCTAAACCTAGGTCCAGTCCTCCTCTCTCGGTCTCGCCTGTTTTCGCACTCCCAATTCGCGCAGCCCCTCCCTCCCTCCCTCCTCTCAAACTCTATCTCAAACTCTATCTCTCTGCTCTCATTCCCAGCGGCGGTGACTGAGAATTCACCCAAAGCCAAACCTCTAAAGCCCGAGTCTGACTCTCAAAACTCTGTCTCTCAAATTCTGTCTCTCAAAAGGTTAGTACTCTCGACTACACTCTCACGTTTAATTTTCTGTTGTAGATTCAAACCAAACCTCTAAACCCGAGTCTTAAACAGGTCAGAGCACTGGAAGTGACTGAGGATTCTCTATTATTTCTCCCATCAGCAATTGGCACTGGGCGAGTTAGCACTGGAAGTGACTCAGGTGCTTCAAAAATTCTCTCTTATTTCTTGTTTGACAACTTCGATTGAAACCCATGACCCATCTGTTTCCCCCAATTCATGTCTTCATTCAATTTGTTTAAAATTAGGGTTGTTGAAGACGAGATTGAAAGAGTTCGTTCGAAATTTCTCGGTGGATTTAAGAACAGTGAGTTTGTGGAGAAATTCAAGTCCAGCTTGGTATGTTCTCTCTACCTTCATTTCGAAATTTGTTGCTTTCGGCTTTGAGTTTTCATAGCAATTGAATTTGTTAACTTTGCATTTTGATTGCTACATTTACCAATTTGGGTTTACAGCACTAGGCCAGGTAGAGGTAGGCGTAGATGGATTGGGGGTTTGGGGTTGATCTTGTAAATTACTGTGTGATTAGCCTGTAGTTTTAGGGTTCCTAGACTTGCTCAAACTTCCAATTTTCATCTGCTGTGCACTGTCTACAGATCTTGCCAGATTTCAAATTAGATTTTTGGGTCTCTTGGTTAATCTTGATTTTTCCTATTTTATTTGTTCCTTCTTTTTGGATGTGCTAATTCCTGGTTTTTGTTTCTTCCATGCAATTTTATATAACTACATAAAGGAATACCCAACGTACTATTAGCATTAGACTTGTGGCAAACATGTGCTTTTAAAATCAAAAGCAGTAACATAACACCATGAGACTGCATATTCAGTAACCATAGAAAGAACAAAAACAAGTCAACAAATGAAAAAAAAAACGACAAGTATACGTTTCCAATCTAGTAACCTGTTGATCTTATAATGGGTTATAACCTATGAGTTCTTTCTTCTACAAAAGATGCCTCACCTCGGTAGATCTCATCACGATTTTCACTCACAAATGGTTAGATTGAATCAGGCATCTTCTACTCCCTGGGAAAACAAATGTTTGAGAAATGAATCAGTTAACAAGCTGAATAAGCTGAAAAAAGAAAATATGCCTTGTGAAATGAAAACACTTAAAGTTTTTGTTTTCTTTTATATATAATGGATTTTATTTTGGCTGGCATGTTGGTTTCTGTTGGTGCAATAGGAGTTCCCGTTGAATGTAGTTGGAATTTGGGTTAGTTTTGTTTTGATCTTTTTTTGTTGTTATTATCTTGTCGCATATAGATCTGGCCAATACAAATTTTGGGCCCTCATAAGTCAATTTTTTAGTCTGTTATTGTTATTGCACATTTAAAAACTTAAGCTTCGATAAGTAGATTTTTTTGATTGCTCAAATATGAAATTATAGGATTAGGGAAGAGACACATGCAGTATCATTCTTTAACAATTAAAGGTCAGGTGGTAAAGGTCATGAAAGCATCAATTGGGGACTTAAATAAACACGAGTTTTATAAATTGTTAAACTTTGCTTTTAATTCGAAATCTCTAGGTTTTGGTGTTTGACAATTGAACAACTTTGCTTTTAATTTAGTAGGTATTGGGATGTAAAAGTCTTATCTTTTTGTTTTGTATCTTAATTAGATGAAGTCAAGTGCATCAAAGGCCTCGCCCTCGAGCTCAAGCTCAAACTCAATGAGATCATCAAATAGCTCCCGTGAAAAAATAAACTCATCATTGGAATTTGGAAGACTTGGATTCTCATTCTCATCATGGTTTTGTTGTTGTAAATATGTTATTTCCCGAAGTTGGACCGTGGATGGAGAATGTGAGCTTTTATATTTTCAAATTTTTTATTTTTTGGAGACAAAAAAAAAAAAACCGAAAAAAAACCGAAACCGAACCGAAAAAAAACCGAAAAATGTGAACCGAACCGAACCGAAATTTCGGTTCAGTTTCGGTTTTAGGAAAAAACCGAACCGGTGGGAACCGAACCCACCCCTACTTAGGTGTAAGGAGACAGACACACTACCTTGATTAATTGGTCTAACTCACATATGTTGTTGAAATTCAATCTCAAGTTTGTATCACTTTTATAGAGAGGTTGGATGTATGGACCAAAACATCAAGAATTTGTCTTGATATTAGTTGGAATCAACAACAAAACCAAACCTAATCTTTCGACCAAAAAAAACTAAACCTAATCACTACCATTTTCTATTGTTGCATCATTGTCCTTGTTAATGGTAATTAAATTCATTATTGTCCTTTTCTTTTGTTGTTACTGTACTGGTACATACTTTTTGAATTATGCTGAGGTATGCTGTGGATTTATTTGTTTTCTTCCCTTTTTTTTTCTATCTAAATTGCCATCTCTTCCTAATGAATTTATTTATTTTTAGTTACGCCCCCTGGAACTCGATTTTAATCTCGCTTTACTTCCTATAATTCAAAAGTCGTCACTTTACTCCCTGAAATTCAAAGTTTGCTTCACTTTGCCTCTGAAAGTCGATTTTGTTTCCATTTTGCCCCTTAAAACTTAATAGTCATCTCTATAAAACTTAAAATTGGCTCAACATTGCCTTAGATTTGTTAATTTCTTATGTGGGTTTGATTTGAGTGCGCCAAGCTAATCAAATATTTTTTTTTTTATCATCTCTTCAATTTCTTTTAAACTTAACATTCTCCGATAAACTTAACATTCTCCGATTGCTCAATGTCAATGCATAATGAAGATTTACAATCGAGTTTATTGCACAGGTGACATAGTCTTATTGTGTGTTGGGTCTCACATACATTTTAGGAGGCAAACTATAAGTTATAGGGAGAAGAGAGTTCACAAGTCAAAGTGAAACGAATTTTGAGTTTCAAAGAGTAAAGTGATGATTTTTGAGTGACAGGAATAGAGTGAGATCAAAATAGAGTTCCAGGAAGCGTAGCTAAGAATAAGCCTTTTTCATATGCTAGTGGAATTATTGAAAGCTTGAACTTTCGAAACGGGGCTTGGGACATACTTTTGAAACTCTGGGTTGGTTCCCGGAAACTGTTTGGGCCAACAGAAACTGGGATGGCATGGTGGGGATTAGCTATGCTCCAAATCCACTTCCCTTCCCATCTCGTCTTCTGACGCAGCGAGAACGGATAGAAAAATATCAACAAATGTCAAATTCGATAAAGAGACAAACAGAATTTCTCCACTTCGAGAAAAGTCTCACATTGATTAATAATACGTAGAAGAATCAAATTGCAACTCCTCCAAACTTGACCTTTCTGTAGGTTTCAAACCCCATCTCTACTAGAAAATGGAGGTCGAATTAACAAAGGATACTTAAGAAAAAGTCCTCCTTAAATCATTGTTTCGGACGCGCACTTGACCGACCAACAAATATTCAAAGCTGACTTGTTGCCTCTTCTTGCCGAAAGTTGTTCTTGAACGCGTGTTTTCCTTCTTCGTATTTAGTTTTTCTAATCCAAGATTACAACCATTTTTTAGTTAATTCACAATTTTAAGTTTTGTAACTCTGTTCCTCCAAATTTCCTTTCCCACCTTTGGTGTCAAACGATGTGCAACCCACACCAGTAATTGCATTCAAAAGCACACCGATTTGTGAGGAGGAAAAGAATGTTTGAAGAACAAGTTGGCATAAGCGATCATGCCACAAATTTCAGACACCAGTTCAAAATCTGACTTCAAAATTTGACAATTAGTCAAATCATAATCCCACAACTAGTTGAGAGGGGAAAGCCAAATTAATCATCCCAGCGAACTCCATATATAAGCTGGAAGGATCAGGAATTAGGAATTGCAGTGTTGTGCCTTAGACGTTCAAGGAGTGATAAGTTTCTTGAAGCCCTCCAACCCGCAAAACCAGGTTGGTATTATCTGTGAAGCATAGGGATAAATATCCTTGTATGTCTTTTTAGTTGTCCCTACAGCAACACCATCAGCTGCTTTTGAGACTTCTGCAGATCCACATAGTTTATATCAAATCCATGCAGACAAAACAAGGATGATTAATTAGGATGATTGTAAGATAGATTACAGAAATAATCAAATATACAGACCGAATTAATCTCAAAGTACAACAAAAACCGACATTTATTAATCAACGGGGAGATGTTATTAGCACTGTACAAAAATCATTATGTTCTACTCCCTAATGAAACGATAAGGAAGGTATCGAATCCTGAATCTCTAGCCTAGTCTAACCATCATCCTACCCATCTTCCCCAGTAATTAAGTTCTAATATATGCTTCTTAATTACTAAGATTAAGAAGTTAATCATATATAAATTAAAGATCCATGCAAGCTTAATTGCTATAAAACATGCATAAATAAGCTTACTAAAAAGAGTTTAAAATACCTTGAACAGAACAGTTATTCCCATTAGAAAGCTGAACTACCATGTACATAACCGCTGCCACAACAGAATTAGGGTTTCTCCTAATATCAAAATTTGCCAAATTCTTCAGGGCTTCTTCCACAGCCTTCTTATCTTTACTACTAATACCAAGATTCGAACAATGTCGCGGCCAAAGGTCCATGGCGCTTTTGATCTTGGAAGCAATCCCTAATCTTCTCTTCAACTCTTCTTTCATCTTGCTAATTTCTTTTTTAGATGGCCCATTGGCAACCATGGTGATTTCCTTTAGTGTTCGCGTATTTGGCTTTCTTCAAACGCAAGCAAGAGGCAAGCAGCCATTATGGGGTTAGAATTTCTCCCCTTACAGAAGTTCTTATCATCGGCCTTCTTGTATAAACCTTTGGCATGATCCAGTATGCAATTCGGAACGCCTTCGTGTATGTCTAGCCGGTCGGCCATCTCTTCGAGGTACTTGAAAGGTTTTAGGAGAGAATTGCTAGGGTTTACAGCCCTATTGGTCCATTTATTAGGAGGAAAATTACCATCGGCATCAGTACCCTTCTTGTTGTTTTTCTTCTTTTCTTTGAATATACAAGTGGAAAGAACACCATTATCCAGCAACGGATCGGAGGCTTTTCCGACGCGAGTCCGGTCTTCTTCAGGGTTCTGATCGGCAAAATTTCGCCACTCGGCGGTTTCATCGATGTAGCGGGCTTCGAGGATCAAACCACAGACGGTGCAGATTGTGTCACCCGACCTGTGGTCGGACACGACGTCTGTCTCTTGCTTGCAGTCCCTACAGAACTCTTTAGCTTCCATGATTTTCAGAGAGAGAGAGAGATTTGCGGAATAACTTATGTTTTGTATCGTGGGATGTAGAGCCAGGGTATGCCATATTTATAGAGAAAAAAGCTTCAGTTAACCGACTCCAATGTGACCGACTATTTCAAATTCAAATACTACACGGCGTGCAGTACACGCAAGGGAAAAGGATTCCTAAAGGTGTAGAACCGTGTCGACTGGGGTCCACATTCCACGAGGCAGAAATACATGGACGCAAGAGAACAAATAATACCGTCCGATACGTCACGTATTACAAAACCAATAGTTAAAAAAAAAATTGTTCAAATATTCACTATTATGATAATTGTGTTTTTTCGGCATATTGAAAAAAAAAATTAACATAAAAAATTGGCAGTCTTGTTCTCCTGGATCAGGAAAACTCACGATCGACCCCCACTGGATTAAATCTAGGGAGCTTTAATTAAAAGGGTTTTGATTAACTTTAATTTAACTAAAAACTACATAATAACTTTATTTAATAAAAAGGACATGAATTTTAATGAAAAATGACACAAACTATAAGAAACAGAAGCCTAACTAAAGAGCACACGGGCTGGAAGTAAGCCCAGCGTGCTAAACAATTTTTTTTTTCAATCCTTGCCCCTGACGGAACACTACTTCCGTTAGCCAAACCGTTTAGAATTTGAATGCCATTTTGTCAGCCAGTTTCTCTCTCTCTTTTTTTTTTTTTTTTTTTTTTTTTTTTTGAATTTGCCATTGGTTTCTCCTTTTTATTTTTCTTGTTTTCTTCTTGCCCTCCCCCTTGCTCTTGGAAGCCGGAAGGGACGTCTTTTTCATAGGCTTGAGAAACCCATCGATTCCCACTTTCTTTTATTATATATATATATATATATATATATATATATATATATATATATATTTTTTTTTTTTTTTTTTTTTTTTTTTTACTTATTTGAATTAGGTTGTTCAAATTACCAATCTCCACCTTAATTTTATTTGCCGCTTAGAACCTGTATAAATGTTTTCTGCAGGAACCCTTTCATTAAAAATTATTTCAATTTCATTTTTAGTTGGTGGGTTTAAAGATTTGCCAGTGCGGTCGTGACTATTGATCGATAAAACAATGGTCCTGTAGATGATCAATAGTTCAGTTTGCTTTGGTAAAAAAATGTGGTTTAGTTTAATAAATAGTTCAGTTTGCTTTGGTAAAAAAGTATGGTTTTCTAGTTCAGTTTGATAAATAGTTCAGTTTACTTTAGTAAAAAAGTGTGGTTCAGTTTGATAAATAGTTCAGTTTGCTTTGGTAAAAAAGTGTGGTTTTCTACTTAACTTTGATAAATAGTTCAGTTTGCTTTGGTAAAAAAGTATGGTTCAGTTTAATAAAAAGTTCAGTTTGTTTTGATAAAAAAGTGTGGTTTAGTTTGATAAATAGTTCAGTTTGCTTTGGTAAAAAAATATGGTTTAGTTAGATAAATAGTTCAATTTGTTTTAGTAAAAAAGTGTGGTTTTCTAGTTCAGTTTGCTTTTGTAAAAAAAGTGTGGTTTAGTTTGATAAATAGTTCAGTTTACTTTGGTAAAAAAGTATGGTTTTTTAGTTCAATTTGATAAATAGTTCAGTTTGCTTTGGTAAAAAAGTGTGGTTTTCTAGTTCACTTTGATAAATAGTTTAGTTTGCTTTTGTAAAAAAGTGTGGTTTTCTAGTTCACTTTAATAAATAGTTCAGTTTGATAAATAGTTCACTTTGCTTTGGAAAAAAAGAGTGTGGTTTTCTAGTTCAGTTTGATAAATAGTTCAGTTTGCTTTGGTAAAAAAGTGCGGTTTTCTACTTAACTTTGATAAATAGTTCAGTTTGCTTTGGTAAAAAAGTATGGTTCAATTTGATAAATAGTTCAGTTTGTTTTGGTAAAAAAATGTGGTTTAGTTTGATAAATAGTTCAGTTTGCTTTGGTAAAAAAAATGTGGTTTTCTAGTTCACTTTGATAAATAGTTCAGTTTGCTTTGGTAAAAAAATGTGGTTTTCTAGTTTACTTTGATAAATAGTTCACTTTGATAAATAGTTCAGTTTGCTTTGGTAAAAAAATGTGGTTTAATTAGATAAATAGTTCAGTTTGCTTTTGTAAAAAAATATGGTTTGGTTTGATAAATAGTTCACTTTGATAAATAGTTCAGTTTGCTTTGGTAAAAAAGTGTGGTTTTCTAGTTTACTTTGACAAATAGTTCACTTTGATAAATAGTTCAGTTTGCTTTGGTAAAAAAATGTGGTTTAGTTAGATAAATAGTTCAATTTGTTTTAGTAAAAAAGTGTGGTTTTCTAATTCAGTTTGATAAATAGTTCAATTTGCTTTTGTAAAAAAATGTGGTTTGGTTTGATAAATAGTTCACTTTGATAAATAGTTCAATTTATTTTGGTAAAAAAGTGTGGTTTAGTTTGATAAATAGTTCAATTTGCTTTGGTAAAAAAGTGTGGTTTCCTAGTTCACTTTGATAAATAGTTCAGTTTGCTTTGGTAAAAAAGTGTGATTTAATTTGATAAATAGTTCAGTTTGATAAACCTAATGTATAAAATGGTTTTCATAATTCGCCCTCCAAGAGATCGATTTCCCTCTTAAACCTAATGAATTGTCTACATGGCTCAATGATATACACAAGTGTGTACTTGAACATGAAACTCCACATGATGCATAGACGAACACAGTTAGTCTTTGAAACTGCAAAGCAACCTACTACCATTCAGCGGACATGGGATTCATTCCCCTTCCTCTTTGAGCATGTGCTTCTCTTCCACTACAACATGCATTGTCAAATCAAAATCCATCCAAGTGCCCATCCAAGATGCATATGTACAAGCATCGGAACGAAGGAAGCAAATAGTATAACTTGGAACATAAACCAAAGTTACGGGAAAAGACAAATTTTAGACGCCAAGAATCCGGACAAAACAGAAAACGATGTTCTCATACATCGTTTCATCGACTTGAAAACAACAATGACCTCATACCTAATTCCATTTTTGAAGATTGAAATATGTAAACACGAAGCAAAACAGCAAAAAACAATTCATCGAATTAGAATACATATTAATATGGAACACCAAACAAAAATAAGAGAGAATGAAATTTGAAAAGAAGCCAAAAATGAAAAATCTGACCAGCTGATTATTACCTAAAGACATATTTCGCAGGTTGTATTGCCTTTCTCGTTGCACCACCTCTGTATGCAATCTCTGTGTGCAAACTGAGAACAAAAAATAGAATTTATTAATCGTTTTCAGGATTATTCAGAAAACCAAAACAAGAAGAAGAAACAAAACTCGGTTTTGAGGTGTACCTTAACAGTTCCGGAGCATGCACAGGGAGCTTCCATGGTCTTATCGGAGCTTCCGGTTTCTTCTTCATGGCAAATCCTGTGTGCAATTTATTAATATTGCAGTTGGTGTTGCAATAGATCATTGGATTCATAGAAATCTCAAGCGTTCAAGAACTAATGATGTATGCAAAAGAAATTCAACTGCAAAGATTCAAAATCGTAAATTGAAAACAGGAATGAAGCAAATTTGTGAAAACAAAAACCAGATCGAAAGAGAAAGGTAACGTGTTATACTGATAGGGGAACTCGAGCTCTAGAGAATCGATGCTGAGAAGGTCGCCCGTGCTTATCTGATTCGATCGATTCGATTGATTTGAAAAATTGTGGAAACTCAAATTGAATTGAAAACAAAATACATATTGGGTGGAGAGATCGAGAGAGAGGGAGAGAGAGATTCGATCGATTCGATTGAAAAATGGAGGAATTGGAATTGAACTTGGAAATAAAAGGATTCAGATGTGTTCTTCTTTCACTTCCTTCACTTCTCTTTCTCTCTCAGATGTGTCAGGAAGAAATGGGGAGACAGACCATAGCAGAGCAGAGAGACCCATAAAGGAAGAGAGATTAAACGGAAAAATGCTTTGCCATCAGGGGCAAAATCAGACACTCACTGTTTGGGCCATTTTATTTGGATTGATTTAGTGTTGGGCTTTGTCCTAACCATTAAATAAACTTACAACATGGTTTTTTATTAAAACTTAAAGTTTTCAGGCCCTTTTGGTTAGTTTTCTTTTAAATCTAACGGTGAAGCAAAAATTATTATTTAAAAATATTTCCCTTTCGCTTGCACTTACTCTCCGCATCAATAGTTAGCACTTTCTCAAAATCCCAATTAAATACATCTTTAACTTCAATTTCTTAGTGAAAATTACAACAAAACTCTGTAAAATATAAACTAATCCAAATATCAAACTCTAACACGGATCTCTAGCTCTTTCTCCAAGACTTTTACCATTTTGTTAATTTCTTTCCTAGAAGGTCCGTTGGCAGCCTTGGCGATTTCCTTGGGTGTTCGCGAGTTATTGCTTTCTTGGCAAGCAAGAAAGAGGCAAGCGGCCACCATAACCTCAAACTTTCTCCCCCTACAAAACTTTCTCCCACTACGAATCTTCTTATCAACGGCCTTCTTGTATAACACTTCAGCATCATGTAGAACCTCATCGGGAAGGCCATGTTTGTCTAGCCAACAAGCCATGGATTCGAGGTATTTGGTAGCTTTTGCGAGAGACTTTTGGGGGTTTGACACTGCGTTGTTCAACTGGTTACTAGGTGGAGCAATGCCATCGACATTATCCTCCTTCTTGTTTTGCTTCCTTTCTTTGGAGTTACAAGTGGTAAGAACACCATTGTCCAGCAAAGGATCCAAGGAAGCGCCCACGCGACTTCGGTCTTCCCCGGGGTTCTGATCATGAAACTTTCGCCGCTTGGGGGTGACATCGAGTGGTCTCCAAGAACCAAACCACAGTCGGTGCAGACTGTGTCACCCGACTGGTGGTCGATCACAACTTCTCTGGATTCCTTGCAATCCACACAGAACTCAAATTCCATGATTTTTCAGAGAGAGAGAGAGAGAGTGTGTGTGTGTGTGTGTGTGTGTGTGAGAGAGAGAGAGAGAGAGAGAGAGGCATTAGCTAGCTTTAGTTGTGGTAGTGAATGTGCATACTGTGCAGTTACTAGTTTATGTTTTACAGTGCGAGAATTTGGGGTTACGATTAAGAAGACTAGCCAGCCTGGATGTGCGATATTTATAGGAGCAAATGAAGTTTATATTTATCCCAAAACTTTCCTAACAAGTATAATAAAGGAGGTCCTTACATTACACCTTCATTTGTTCTCACTGGGACCCACTACTGCCACATAGACAGTTGAAGGAAGACCCTTGGATTCTTTGACAAAGCTAGAAAGTTAGTGGGCTGAGGATATTTGTCCTGTGGCTTTCATTGGGCCACGTCACCATTGACTAACAGCCACAAGAAGTAAACCTTCCCCTTCCTCCTGAAGGTTTGATTTGATACTTGCTCGTGCAGGTCTGATACTTCCTCAGGAAGTAACCTTCCTCATGAAGGTTGATTGGTATTGATTCTCCGATTACTGTTCTTCTAAGTTTGCCCCAGTAAAACTCACTTACCTAAATCTTCCAGTTGAATCACCAATTACTGCATCAAAAGTGGAAACAAAACATGTTCCTACGTGATTTTTAATTGGACCAAAAATGCCATTTTTAAAAGAGACTTTCTCCCGAACAAATTAAGCTTGAGAGAAACTCCGTCATTTGCTCTTACAGTTTAAATTTGGATTAAAATATCGGTCTAAAATGATTGGTTGTATGTAATGTAAGAGCAAATGTAAGGTGGCAAAGAACACTGCCCCAGGAATTATCCACCCCCAATTCCATGAGCAATCTAGGTCTGGCTAACCAGGACAAGGACAAGGACCTTGGTGATTCAGGTCCCATATTCCACGTGGCAAAAATCCCATGTTCCAAACCCACGTGGACAACAGAAAATGATGGTGAAAACTATAGTGCTTTTCCAGAAAAACAAACACCAAATCCGTGATGTTGTCAGCTGTCAAGTAACACCACAGAATTTTATCATCATTTTTTGTCAAAAAATCAAAAAATAAATAAATAAACTTTGGTGGATCATGAACGGATCAGATGCTGCTCTGCTGATGCAGACAGACAACGAAAGTACTTATCGGATCCCATGAATTCCAAATCCCTTTTTGTCCTATCAAATGAAGCATTTCCTTGTCTTTTACTCCATTTGGAGGGGACACAGAATCAATGTCTTGAATCTGAAACCTTGTACTTTTCAAGACGACAACAAAAGACAAACAAACGGTTTTCAAAGTTCCAATGGAGTTGGAAGCTTCGGCAACCTTTTCAGATAGATCTTATGTGCTCCCCCTTACAAAAATCCAAAGGCAGAAGTACCAGCATTCACACGTGACCAATCAGAAAAAAAAGAAGGATATTATCATTAATGGCAGGAATAAAATAAAAAATAAAAACTCACCCATGTTTTTGGAGGTGGAGTGTTTGCAAAGCAAAGCATCTGTTGGATCATAAAATTACAACCTTCATAATATTATTCAATTTTTCCTAACTAACTTAACTGTTTTTCATCTTCAACATCCCAACTCTCTCTTCTGGGTTCGGCCAGTACAGCTTCATGCAGAAACGACCTGTAAAAAGGGCGAAAAACGCGGAGGAGGGGAAAAGAGAGGAAATACGATAGTGACAGTGCTCGTAGCTACTGGATATTCTTGTATAAATTAGGTATGGCTAGATTAAAAACTAATTTATGCAACAACTTAGGGCCACTAAGAGACACATTCATACCAACGACCATCCTCCTGCTGCTTCAGGCACTCTACCTATTCTCCTTTGCAACTTCTTCAAAATATACAAGAGAACAATATGTACTTTCCCAAAAATGACAACAATAGGTGTTGGTTCAAAAATGAACGAGCAGCTTTCCTTACTTGGGGTTGACTTCCTGCATTCCATTTTTTCAATCTTCTTTCTTCTGTGCTAGGCTAGCATATGTGTCAGTAAAAAGTGATCATAAACAGGTGCATGAGCGGGATCTGGAATGCAAATGGATGAAAAGGGGAGAGCATTCAGGGGGAAGGAGCAATCAATTCATAATCATAGTGACAGACAATGAACACCCTCTGGTAGATGTCTTGGCAGCGGCTGTCCAGTGACATATCGTTGGGGGAATGGTTTTGGTGCAGTTGGAACTGTACCGGATGAAGAAGTGGTCCCAGACGTAGCTGTTTGGGGGATATGGAACCTGGCAAACCGGTTGATGACCGAAAATCTTTCCAACTCCTGGCATTCTAGTCTTAAGTCTAAAATTGAAACCTTGTCTAACCTGCATCATTAAAAGACATCATGATACAAAAGAAATTGAACTAGATGGCCGAATTCTGACAGATTTGCAAGGCATAATTCTAAGGATTACCCAATTTTCGCACTTTCTAAAAGACATGTAGTTCTGAATTCAAAAGAACCTTTTTTTTACCATTGGGAACAGGGTAAGTAGCTGATTTCTGACAATAACTAATATATGTGACTATACCAAAATTTGGAAAAATGTATGAGTACCCCCCATGTAAACTTCTAGCAGAGTTGCAGATCTGGTTATTAAGGAAAAAGCATACTCAACTGAGCCTTAGTCCAACTGCTTACGGTCAGTTGCAAGAAACATTTTTCTACCTTTTGTTCCCGAATAAGACTGAATGAGAGTGTAGTTACTAGAAATGTCAAAAACAATTCCTGAACAAAAAACTTTGGCATACCTCAGTAGGTCATTTTCCAGCTTCTTCGATCTATTAGTGAAATCTTCCACAGCTTTTGATAAATACTGCATTTCAGTATTTTCAGAAACTTTAGGCTTTTCCCCAATCCTACAAAACAATTGCAGAGAAATTAATTCTTAGAAGGCCAAACCTCGAACCATACAACTTGAAGCACAAGAACTTTTTATAAACTTCAAATTTACAATCTCTCTGGTTCTCTCAAAAAACCATGAAACGTGACTTACGTATTACTGTCGTTCAGTGGCGCATCAGTACTGCTGCTGCAGGTCAGGGTGCACGCATCCCCTAATGATAATTTAGCAACAAAATATGTCACACTATCATAGTACAAAGCAGCGTCTGCTGAGAGAATGGATGCTGGTGCAGGGCCGAGCAATTGCTGCAGAAACTGTGTTGTGAAGATAAGCCTTCTCTTAGATCGAAGGATTGGACGTCCATCTTCAATCATTTCAAACTCATGTCCAACCTGCCATTAAAAATGAATAATACATAAACACCTGGATCCAAAGTACCTGGGATTTTTTAAAGTAGAATGAATTGCTGGTGTGACCCATTTAACTAGAAGCTCACTTTCTCAGTCAGCCGATTGCATGACAAGGCCCATTCTTGCTCTGCCAGACTGCATAAAAAATGCAATCCAAAAGTTAACGAACCAGCATAAACGACCTGAGGATTAGCTGTGCACTTTCGTGAACAAAGGAATACCTCATCTTCTACATGCCAAATTTGACATAAAGAAAATAAACGGGGAGCAATAGTAAATACCTGACATCTTGAACCCTTTTGGAACCTTCTGTCACTTTGTGCCATGGTAGAAGCTCTGATGTTTCAATTTTGCGTTTCTTTGGTCTCACGATCGCCATAGTTTCATCAATGACTTCTGAAGGTAACACATAAGGGGCTACAAAGGGTTCGCTTGTTACCAAATTGGTAGCTGTACTTGGCCATACTCTGTTAGCCTCAGAAGCATCTATCTGTTCCACAGAAGAATGTATGTTTAGGCTTTGCGAAGGCTTCACAAGCGAGGTCTGCCCTGCAGAAGACCTAGCAAGCCTTGCATCATACGTTGGTTGCATCTGCCCATTTCTGAAGGTCCCATACTGTTTAAACCAGTTCGATGCCATGCTTAGATTGGGCTGAGAAGTTTCAGCATAATTAGGTAACACATCATTGCCAATAGATGGACTCTGAGAATCACTTTCACCAAATGCAACCATGCCTTGGGCTTGGAAGGCAGATTCTGAAGAAGTTTTTACACTTAGACCTTCTCTTGCATCCGTCAGGAAATTTGTTGCGTTGGAATTTCCAAGTGGCGATAACTTGTGAGCTGATGGAGAATTCAGTTCACCATCCTTGTTATGACCATAAATTGACTGCTGTCCTGCCATAGCAGTTACCTGTTGTACATCCAGATCCCTCCTACTTGGATCAGCCTCTTCATTCTTCGTACCCTGCACTTGGTGCAGCCGGGAGTGGTCATGACGAAATCCATGTGAATGTTTTAAAGCATGGCCAAGAAATCCAAGATTTCTTGCAGAGGGAGCCAGGCCATTGCTGTCATTATGATGTATTCCACCAAGATCCTGCAGGTGCGAATGATTCAACAATGTACCAGAGGCAAAATCACTAGGATCGGAGACATTCCTTACCCCTGTCTGTGAAGCATCAAACATCCTCTCTTCCTCCTGTTTCTCTTGTGCAGAATTGAATCCTTGTAAACTCGTATGGGAATGGCCAAATTCAGATGATCTATATCCACTGTCCTGGGTATTTAGACCATTTAGCTCCTTTGAAGCCAACGAAGTAGTTTCCATGCCAGAAAGATGTTGCTGGCTTTGGTTATTTGTCCACAAACTCTGCGGCTTCACTGATACTCCACCCCGTGCAGGCATGCCTGACATAAAAGGAGGCTGAGAAACTGGAACAGCTTCAAGAACAGGGAATTGTTGACCACCAGAGTTGACAAAAATTTGCTGAGAAGTATCTTGAGATAGAGCAAGGTTGGAAGGTGCATGCTTTGCAGAAGAACCAGGTAATGTTGTTTGATTAGATGGACCAGGTACATTAAACAGATGTTGTGTTTGAAGCTGATTCCTTGAAAATGTAGGACTGGATGTGCTTTCTGCAATAGAGTTTCCATGCTTATAAGACGTAGGGCTGCTCGATTGTCCCCCGATACCAAATTTATCATCCCAACGGGATCTCGGTGATGATTCATGTGATTGGGGCAAAGGTTGAGAAGGGGACAGAGTGGACCAGGTCTGATTTTTCCCTCTTAAATTAGAATCCATTTGCATTTGATTTGGATTACTAGCTGGATGGATCATACCCTGAGAAGAGAAAAGAGTGTTTGAAATGGATTGTCGTTGAGATGGAGAAGCCAATTTCAAAGCAAAACCTTGAGAAGCAGAAGACTGATTGTAGATATGAGAAACAGAAGCTCCAGGAGTTTTTGCCTCAGTTACCTCAGATAGTGGGTTAAATCCAGGATGGCCAAACTGTGCGATAGAACTATTCTCCTTCAACTGATCAACCCTGCTAAGAAGATGAAGTATATTTTGACTGTTGTGGTTAAGCCATCTAAAGATTCCACGAGAATATACAAAATAGAAGAGAGAATGTTTAATGCCCATATACTACCATACATAAGGTAAATAATAAGGAAGGCTGCAGAGAGAATGTTTAATTTCATATGCTAACGAATGCGAATACGTATGGAAAATAATAAGGAAGGCTGCAGAGAGAATGTTTAATGTTCATTAGTATTCAAAAGAAATATTAGCCATTCGGAACTTTCAATCCCTCATTATTCTTAAGCAAACTACCTTGTTTGTGCAGTCAAACGCATGCCGCTAGAATCCTCTGATTTCCGGCCATACGAGTTGTCCCTCTGGTAGCAATTTTGCTGCTGCTCATATGTTCCACCTTCCCTCCCATAAGAGTTTTGCATAACATGAGAGCTGTTACTCATTTGATGATGTTTTTCTCCAATGCCCTCATTATCCTCCTTGTTGCTAGATATAAAATGTTTCCCGTAATCAAGCTTATTATTATCTTGGACTTGGTGACTGGTTTCCTGATGGACATTAGTCATGTGTGAATTTTGCAGGGAATGAAAGTTAAAAATATTGGAATTTTCTCTGTTCCTAAGAATATTCTCTGAACCAAAATGTACTTGCTCCAATTGTCCAGTTGATCTGGAAAATGAAGTTACCCTGGAATCACCATCCCTATTCCACATATGGTTCTCAGAGTTCCTATTGTACATGCCTTCGTTAATATCACCTGTTCAACAATCACACACAATATCAGGGAAACGAAAATTAGCATCATTTCCATTAGAGGATTGAAAATGAACATTCTTACCTTCTGGTTTACTGCTTTGACTGGTCCATGTGTTGTCCAAACGCATATGTGGCTGAACCTGTTGAGAGTTACGATCCAACCACTCGCTAGAACTTTTGGGAGACTTCTGAATGGATTCATGAGATTCATCCTGGTGAAACCCTTCTCGATGCTCAGGTGTGAATTGGATGCCTGGCTGTGGAAAGCCAGGGAAGCTAGAACTAACACTTGAGTCATTAAGCATGGGAAAAGGTTTTGAACTTAAGGAAGAGACACTCTGCAGATTGTTATCAGCCCAACTTCCTTGGTTCTCATTGTCCACGATGTTTGAAGGCTGATTACCAGTTGACAGCTCGGTATTCTGAAAAGTCAATCCACTCCACTCCTCCTGTTGGCCGGTATCACTACTAGAAGCTTCTGCTACAGCAGACTGCATAAGCGCGCTCCAGCTTCCACTTTGGAGAGAAGGAAATGAACTTTCGAATGCATTCCAAAGCCTCCAGCCCCAATATCACTCTGCTTTCCCATAGACGAATCCCAAGTACTATCATCCATGTCAAACAAAATCTTCTCTTCCATTGGATCAAGGGGAACCAAACCCTGGGAAGGGCCATGCTGCATTGTTTTTTGCTGGAAGATTCCCGGCCAGCCAGCTTGATCTTGCTTTCCACTGAGCTCCTGTGGTGATGTATTTGTTTGCAAGGTATCCCCTTGTTGGAGGTTACCCAATGTGGATCCACAATTTGAACCTTGAGTAATAACTTGTCCAAATACATTTTTTCCCTGAAAGCCTTGTTGGGATACAAACGCCCCTTGAGGTGAGCAAACCTGGTCCGGAGAAGCAGTCGTACAATGAGCACCTACAAATGAGTTATTGAAGGCTGATGGCTGCATAGCAGGCTTCTGCATTTGATCATTAGCCTTGGCCAACAAATTTTCAGAATCATGAGACATCACCGGAAGATGGGAATACTGATTCATAGTCCCTCTTCCACTAGCAACAGGAGTACCATATAAAGATGCATCAAACTGCTGAGGAGCAAGACCCATTGAGCTCAAAGTTTGACCTTGCTCTTGAGAAAAAATAACTCTATTAGAAACATTTTGTCCTCCCAGAGATCCACCCCTCTGCACCCAGTTCATAAACATTTGTGGCGTATCATTAACGGGTGTTCCATTGATTAGAGGTGAAAACTGAACCCCTGAAGTCTGCTTATTAATTGCAGAGAGCTGATTTACTGCATTATGTTGCCTTGCATCACCGAACTGTTGTAGTTGCTGCTGCCTCTGAAGTTCTTGCAGTTTCTTAAACATCAGGTGCTGCTGCAACATCTGCATGTCATTGTACCCAGACTGCTGCATCGAGTGAATCTGTGGAATGCCTTGTTGTTGTCCCCTCACAAGTTGTGGCTGCCTTCCAACAAAGTTAAACTCACTGGAAGCTTCAGTAATTTCAGACCTTTCTGAATTGGTTGTCAAAGTGGGACTATCGCACGATGCATTTTCTTGCTCTGATTGAAGGATAGATAAGCCTCTCGAAGTTAAAGCAAGTGGAACCAAAACTGAGCTATCATCGAAAAACTGGCTTTCCTGCAAATCCTGCCATCCAAGCATAAACCCATTCGTCTCCAGATGTTGGTTTCTAGTTTGAATATGGGACAATTCCGGTTTCTGAGCCAACTGTTTATATGTTTTATCAAAACTCAAAGACTCACCGCCCCGTCCTCTCCCAAAATCTGCAAATGCCACAACAGATACATTAGGGCATTCAAAAACACAAACTTGGTATTTTACATTATGCAACTGTCCTGGGGGAAAATTCAAAGATTTATCCACTATTTGGGAAACAAAAAGCAAATTCCAATGCAGTCATGACAACCAAAACATAGAACTTATAAAGCAATCAAGAAGAACAAAGAAAATGAAGCCACTTGTACCTAGTTGTTGCACATTACTTGTCTCTCTTTGTTTTCCATGCCATTGATTATAAATATCAACAGGCCAATTATTGTCTGCAACTTGAGATTGACGGGAATAGTTGTCTTGTTCATAAAAATTGTGGATCCTGCCTTCAATTTCGTTACCAGGCATTAAATTCCCAGGCACCAAATTTCTCAGCTAATTGTTTCTGTGAAAAAGAGCTACGACTGTTTATGAGACCATTATGCATAAGATACCCTGATCCCTGCAATTCTGCCAGGCATTCTCCAACTTGTCCTGCATATTTCATTGGACAAGTTGAGATTAGAAGCACTGACAGACAGTTTTGACAAAATATCAATTAATACAGCTGGTAAAATGTCGAAAATTTAATCATGGAAAAACCTCGAAAATACAGCTACATCAGATTTCAAACTCAAGCCGGTCTCATTTATGGAGAACCGCTAAAACAGTTTGCCAATTGGAACCTACGACAGCAAAGTTACAAATTCCAATCATGTGTCAAACAACTAGTATTATTCAGTTGTTTGCAAATATAACTTCTGAGAGAGAGAGAGAGAGAGAGAGAGAGAGAGAGAGAGAGATACACATATTAGGGGCTTGGGTGCCCAGCTACAAAATTCAAACTTTCCTAAATTCTTTGAAATGAAAAAAGTTTCAAACTTTTCGATATTCACAGTAATTTACGAATTTACAACTCTTATGAGAGTATTTGAGCTAATACCAAAAGATGGGAAAGAAAATAAACCCCCGAAATTGCAAATTCAGCAGAAACTTAAGCTTAATGCGAACTCAGGATTTCGAAAAACAAATCAAAGGCTAAACAAAAAGCACTTAAACACTATCATTAAGCAACAGAAACCAAAATTAAATCACAAGCAAAACTCAAACTTTACACTCAAAAACCCTAAAAATCCAACAAAATCTCCACCCACAATCAATGAAACCTCAATTCTCCCAAAACTACTAACAAACCACCTGAATTTAACAATTTCCGAGGTAATTCGACTAAAATTAGAAACAGAAAACCTCAGCGGCTCCAACTCTAATGTCTCACTCTTACAAGCTAAAGCAACAGAGTGTGAACACAGAAGGGCAAACCAGCAAAAAGCGGAGAGTTGGGAGCTCACAGTGTGATCCCAATCCAGGGGAATTAGGGTTCTTCAAGAGCGCGGACGGTACGGCGTCGTTTCTGCTTCTTTTGCAGCTCCCAATTCACACCTCAGTTGTTTAAGCTCCAAAACGGCGTCGCAAATGGCTCCTTCTATCTCTCCGGCACTGAACTTTCTCTCTCTAGGACCAGAGGAGTGAGAAACCGCAATCCATTTTTCGGACCCGAAGTCGACGATAAAGCGATCCAACCAAAACACCGCTCCGAGAAATATGTTTTCCAACAAACGCACAGAGTCTCGGAAGAAAACGCTGCCTCAGGCTCGGACTCCGAACCTCAGGTTCGGGTATTGTTGAGTACCCGAACCTACGGCACGGGGATAGAGGGGCTAATGTGCTTCGCGTGAGTTGGTGTGCCCTCCAGTTATGGACGTCGGATGACGATATCTGGGAGATCGACGGTTGATATGGTAGTGTGACGTAGGCTCTAGTAAGCGTGCGTCATTGCTTGTGGCTCGAAAGGAAAAAGTGGACGGGATATTCGGACGTCACGCGCTTTTGTCCACGCGTGGGGCGGTGCACTTTATTTTTCAAGCAGAACTTTGGAGCTTTTTCTTTTCTTTTCTTTTTTTTTTTTTTTTTTTTGAGAATTTTGTATGTGCTTGATAAGTTAATATTTATTTCTTTTCTTTTTTTGGGTTTATTTTCCCGCCGCCGGTTTAAGCAAACGATTAGGGATAAGTGGGTGGGTTTAAGTGCTTAATTGTCTAGGGTTGTTCCATGTTTGGGCCAAGCCACCTAACTTTCACGGCCCAATAACGTCTACTGAATTTAGATTTTGTATTAGCTAAATTTACGAGTTTGAGATGAGAAATACTTAAACTGCTGACATTCGTTCCAGTGTAAATCATCATCTTTTAGGCTCCCGATTGTTTTTGTCATAAAGGTTAAGGCTGGACAATAGCATTCCCTTAAACAAAACTTACAAGTGGATTTTTGTAATCGTTCATGCGTGTAGTAAGCGAACTCAAAAGAGTTATATTCACCACAGAGTAATTAACCGACAACAACTTTCTTTTAAATACAGCTTACATGTGACAATTTCAAACCATTAATGTATATATGTTCGTAATTTATGCACAATGCATGAACAGTTGAAACTAATAGCATCTACATAACCAAGTTGTGTGATTGTAATATGAAATAAGATGTGTTTATGTAGTGTAAAGATAGAAGAGTGTAGTAGGGGTTGGTGATAGAGTTTTTAATTTTCCTTTCCCAAAGTCCTGCCATTTATTGCCCTATGTTTCTGATTCTTGGTACACGTGTCATGCTCCCAATTAATTCAACAAAAAACTATGGGGTACATTTTAGTGCAGAGAACAGGATACATCATTATTTTTAATAATATGAATAAATAAAGATCTAAAAATTAATAATATTGGTGGTAAGGTCGAGAATTTGACTTGGGTCGTCGTTTTTGCTTTGACTTGGGGATTTGTGCAGCTGAGACTTTGACTGGAGTTGTCGTTTTTGCATACATACACAGTAAGTAACACTGATGTGGCGAAGTTGGTGGGTGCATTCGTACATTTTTAAATTGCCCTGATAGGATTGAAATCGCTTTGGATTTCTGTGTCTAGTGTCCCTAGATAAAGAAATTTCAGACTATTTAATTTTAATTCTATATTTTCAATAACTCATTTCATTAATTCGCTACATTAAAATTTAAAAACTTGAATGATTCAGATTTCTTATTTTCTCCTGAACGGTAAGGATGTTTAGGTCCACGCTCCGGCACAGATTCGACCTGGATCTCATTCCGCCTAGAGGATGAGGATCCTTTTTGGATTCTTTTTATCAGGATCTTAGAGATTCTCACATCTTAATCGATCATTGTATATCGTGCGGTCTGTTTTCGTTAGTTACTATTTGTGTTTAATTTTAAATAATAAAAATCAAATGATTTCTGATCGCACGATGTACGAATAATGGTTAAAATGTGAGGATCTCTAAGATCACGACGAATTTGGATCCGATGGTTCCAAATCCCCACCCAGATAGAGAAAGAGGACATGATTGATGATTTTGTAAAAGACAAATAGTTATATTTGGTATGAGAAGAATTATCAAGTTGGGGATGTAGCTCAAATGGTAGAGCGCCCGCTTTGCATGCGGGAGGTACAGGGTTCGATCCCCTGCATCTCCAAAACAGCTATTTTTTAAGGTTTTTTTAATTATTGTTTTTCTAACCAGTTTTGCTGCCATCGCATCGTCGCATGGCAAGAGCGATTGGATGGTTATCGACACGTTATTGATAGAAATGGTCTTTGAAATTGTCCACCGTCAATCATTTTGATCATTTTGATCATTTTGTGAAAATTTTCCGTTAAATTGGAGAAACCACATGTTCAAGTGGAAGTGTTGATTTGACAAAAATACCTTCAAATTAAGAGATATTTTTTTACAAAATGACAAATGATTGACGATGGACAATCTCAATGACGACTTCTATTGATTTTAAATCTCAGGTACCAAAATGACGAATTATATCAACCTCATGATCCACTTTGGCTAAAAAGCCTTCTTTATTTACAAAGAAAATTATAAAGAAAATTGTTGCAAAACAGTTTTTTTCTTTTGCATTATATTTGCAGTTATTCCTGGTGCCAGGAAGTTACAATTATTAATTAATCCCAGGTGTTACAAGTGTGTGTGTATATATATACGTTTCCATTTAAATCGTACTAGACTACTGTCGTACCCACAGTTTGTAATCCGATCCTTTGTCAACAAACGTCTGCCAGCTCCCCTCCAGATGATTCTCCTTCGACGGGTTCCAATCGAAATGTCCAAGCTTCATCACCAGTGTATCACCTATCTGTGCAACGTAACCTTCGTTGTTCGCGTGGTATATCTTCACCGAGCTCCGGCAATGGATCCCGGCCCTTCTCCGAGCATCGATTAGCTCGGTTAGGATGTCATGAAGACCAAAGTCGTACAAATGGTCATAGAAAATGACAGGCTGCACAACAGAGGTAAGAACGTAAAGATTGCAGATTGCGAAGTTTAATAGCAGCTAGTCGTACAGTAAGTAAGAAATGGAAACTGGGGGGATTGGGAACTCACTGTTCCGGGATGAGTTAGGATGTACGCGTATCCCTGTGTAAGCTTATCTCGTGGAAACGGCCAGTGACCCTGACATAAAAAGAAAGTTAGGATGTTCATACGTTAGGAGTGTAGCAGTAAAAAACCAGTGACGGGCTTCATGTGCTTCGTTAATGGTAATGTGACATCGTTAATGGGGATATTTGCGTTCAGTGCTTGTGTGAGCGTGCATGCAAGTGTGAAAGAGAGACCTGTGTTGATCCTGTGTCGTGGTTCTCCAAAAACGTGACAGCACGAGAGGGCCACCATCCCAAAACTCCAGTCGGTTTACCCTGAGGATCTATTAGCCTCCAATATTGGTTATGAAGAGCAGAGTGGAGTATTCCCTGCAAAATTGCAATACTAAGTACGCATTGGGCTCAAATATGCAGCCACACAACATAAATTTCATCAGACAACATTTCGATTTTTCCCCAGTCCTAGAGACATTGTTCTTAGCCTAATTTATGTGAGTCAAACTAATATAGGATGCAGCAGATGCAGTCTAGAGTACCTTTGTTGTGACATCAAATGCCGAGGAAGTGCCGCCTGTGGCATTGATCCAATTGACAATCCGTTGCCGGTGAGCATCTAGAGAACCAAAAAATTTAACATTGTCACAAAAGTCCATAATGAGCAAAACAGTAGCCATATCATTGTTTCTGGCCACAAACGAGTTTTACTAAGTCAAGGCGGTGTATAATCGAGTCTTGCAGTTCACAAGTTCGTACCTTGATTGTAACACAAATTTCCATGTTCATAAGCTAAGCTGTCCCAATATTCTCCAATAGCAAATGCAGGAACCGAAGCTTCAATATATTCTTTTACATAGGTGCCAGAGAAGCCTCTGGAACAACACAAAAGGAGTTAATTGCATGCTATGGATTAAAAGGAGAAAACAATTTCTAAAGATTCAGACATCTGAACATTGGGTTAAACTAAGAAAACACCTTGGGCCTTTGGCCCCCCCAAAAGAAAGAACTTTCACCTTACGAAATCAAGGCGCCATCCATCAAAACCAATATCATTCCGAAGCCAGTTTAGCCACTCCTTTATATCATTTCTTACAAATTCCTTCGAATGATCAATATTGGGTGCCGCATGGAATATATCCCCTACACACAGCATCAACAGCAGATGGGTACAAGGGTAAGCTTAAATTTCTGGTAGTCTCTAAGACATGCATATGTAAACTTCATGAGGTTATCCCAACATTCCCGCACTGATGTGGGGTAGTAAATAGCATGTCTTGCTCAAGTCGGAACTGTTTTACGTAAACTAAATCAAACAATCAAGAGCAGGAGTGAAGCTCAGATTATGTCTCAAAAAATTTACAGAATATTTGCTTCCTTAATTTCTGAATGGTCACGTGGGGCAAAAAAGGAAAAAAATGTTTGTGTATCACCCAAAAATCAAAGAAAATAATAAAGTACCACTTGAAGGATTTCCTTGGCCCTGAAAATTTGGATCATCACAAACAATTGCTTCAGGCCCCCAAGCAAGCTTCCCACCAAAAATGTTCCAAATGCCGTTTGGACTCTGAAATCGGGAAGAATGTGAGTTTTATCAAGAGGAATGACAACAAATATGACCAACTGAGTTAGCAACATGAAAGTTGTGCTCAACGAAAAGGTGTTTCAGAAAGTTTTTAATGTCATAAACAGACTACCATGAAGTTTCGAAACAGGAAATCAACAGTTTACCTGTTTATGAGCACATCTATGATTTAGGACAACATCTCCCAGAGCCTGTTCACAGGCAAAATACGTTACTAATCCAACACGATTATTCACATATGTTAATTAAACAAAAAATAAACGTAGATAATATTCTTATACATATGCATAGCATTATTCTGAATCGGGCCCTATGATCTGATTAGCCAAAGATGATTTCTGTTTTGAGCCTATGACGAGTGAATTGCACTTTCTCAACAACTTTCCTTGTTTGAACAAAGACAATAAAAGATAATATCGGAAACCTCTTATCATACAAAAGTCCATTAAATAGTTCAAGAATTGACTTTCGATGCCTAAGATTATACCTACCAGAAGATCTTGAGAATGCATTTCCTCAATGCAGTGTTTAAGTTCATCCACAGTACCATATGCTGAGTTCAAATTGTAAAGGTCCGAAGGCA